AACATTTGTGAGAATGTGGAGAAACCGGATCTATTATATACTGCTGGTGGGCATGTAAATTAGTAGGAATAGGTTGGGAATCTGGCAATATCTGCCAAACTTAAATATTCACCTGCCCTATGATGGTAGTCCTACTCCTAGGTATATCCCCAGAAAAATCAGTGCCTAATTCCCTCAGAGGACATGTAGAAGAATATTCAGAGAGGCATTACTTATAACAGGCAAAAGTTGAAAATATAAATGTCCACTAAGAGTAGAAAAAGTTGGCCAGGCGGGCGGGGCGTGGTGGCTCAATCCTGTAATCCCAGCACTTTGGGAGGCCGAGGCGGGTGGATCACGAGGTCAAGAGATCGAGACCATCCTGATCAACATGGTGAAACCCCATCTCTACTAAAGATACAAAAAATTAGCTGGGCATGATGGCATGTGCCTGTAATCCCAGCCACTCGGGAGGCTGAGGCAGGAGAATTGCCTGAACCCAGGAGGCGGAGGTTGTGGTGAGCCGAGATCGCGGCATTGCACTCCAGCCTGGGTAACAAGAGCGAAACTCCGTCTCAAAAAAAAAAAAAAAAGAAAAAGTTGGCCAGGCGCAGTGACTCACGCCTGTGATCCCAACACTTTGGGAGGCCAAGGTGGGCAGATCATGAGGTCAGGAGTTCATGACCAGCCTGATCAACATGGTGAAACCCCGCCTCTACTAAAAATACAAAATTAGCCGGGCGTGGTGGTGTGCGCCTGTAATCTCAGCTACTCGGGAGGCTGGGGCGGGAGAATTGCTTGAACCCAGGAGGTGGAGGCTGCAGTGAGCCGAGATCGCGCCATTGCACTCCAGCCTGGGCAAAAAAGAGCAAAATTGCATCTCAAAAAAAAAAAAAAAAGTAGAAAAAATTGTAATATTCAACGCAATAATACTCAGCAATAAAAAAAGTATAAATTACAAAAAAAAAAAAAAAGAAAAAGAGGGAATCCTCCCTAACTTATTTTATGAGGCCAGCATCATCCTGATACCAAAACCTGGCAGAGACACACAAAAAAAAAAAGAAAATTTCAGGCCAATATCCCTTATGAACATCAATGCAAAAATCCTCGATAAAATACCGGCAAACCGAATATACAGCAGCATTATCAAAAAGCTTATGTAACACGATCAAGTCAGCTTCATCCATGGGATGCAAGGCTGGTTCAACATATGCAAATCTATAAACATAATCCATCACATACACAGAACCAATGGCAAAAACCTCATGATTATCTCAATAGATGCAGAAAAGGCCTTCCACAAAATTCAACACCACTTCATGCTAAAAACTCTCAATAAACTAGGTATTGATAGAATGTATCTCAAAATAATAAGAGCTACTTATGACAAATCCATAGCCAATATAACACTGAACAGGCAAAAACTGGAAACATTCCCTTTGAAAACTGACACAAGACAAGGATGCCCTCTCTCACCACTCCTAGTCAACATAGTATTGGAAGTTCTGGCCATGGCAATCAGGCAAGAGAAAGAAATAAAGGATATTCAAATAAGAAGAGAGAAAATCTAATTGTCTGTCTGTAGATGGCATGATTGTATATTTAGAAAACCCCACTGTCTTAGCCCAAAATCTCCTAAAGCTGATAAGCAACTTCAACAAAGTCTCGGGATACAAAATCGATGTGCAAAAATCACAAGCATTCCTATACACCAATAACAGATAAAGAGAGAGCCAAATCATAAGTGAACTCCCATTCACAGCTGCTACAAAGAGAATTAAATACCTAGGAATACAACTTACAAGGGATGTGAAGGACCTCTTCAAGGAGAACTACAAACCACTGCTCAATGAAATAAGAGAGTATACAAACATTAATGGAAAAACATTCCATGCTAATGGATAAGAAGAATCAATATCAAGAAAACGGCCATACTGTCCAAAGTAATTCACAGATGCAATACTATCCCCATCAAGCTACCATTGACTTTCCTCACAGAATTAGAATAAACTAGTTTAAATTTCTTATGGAACCAAAAAGGAGCGTGCATAGCCAAGACAATCCTAAGCAAAAAGAACAAAGCTGGAGGCATCATGCTACCTGACTTCAAACTACACTACAAGGTTATAGTAACCAAAACAGCATGGTACTGGTACCAACACAGATACATAGACCAATAGAACAGAACAGAGGCCTCAGAAATAATGCCACACATCTACAACCATCTGATCTTTGAGAAACCTGACAAAAACAAGCAATGGGGAAAGGATTCCCTATTTTATAAATGGTGTTGGGAAAACTGGCTAGCCATATGCAGAAAATTGAAACTGCACCCCTTCCTTACATCTTATACAAAAATAAACTCAAGATGGATTAAAGACTTAAACATAAGGGCCGGGCACGGGGGCTCAAGCCTGTAATCCCAGCACTTTGGGAGGCCAAGGCGGGTGGATCACGAGGTCAAGAGATTGAGACCATCCTGGTCAACATGGTGAAATCCCGTCTCGACTCAAAATACAAAAAATTAGCTGGGCATGGTGGCGCGTGCCTGTAATCCCAGCTATTCAGGAGGGTGAGGCAGGAGAATTGCCTGAACCCAGGAGGCGGAGGTTGTGGTGAGCCGAGATCGCGCCATTGCACTCCAGCCTGGGTAACAAGCGAAACTCCGTCTCAAAAAAGAAAAAAGACTTAAACATAAGACCTTAAACCATAAAAACCATAGAAGAAAACCTAGGCAATGCCATTCAGGACACAGGCATGGGCAAAGACTTCATGACTAAAACACCAAAAGCAATGGCAACAAAAGCCAAAATTGACAAATGGGATCTAATTAAACTAAAAAGGTTCTGCACAACCAAAGAAAGTATCATCAGAGTGAACAGGCAACTCACAGAATAGGAGAAAAATATTTGCAATCTATCCATCTGACAAAGTACTAATATCCAGAATCTACAAAGAACTTAAACAAATTTACAAGAAAAAAACAACCTCATCAGAAAGTGGAAAGGACATGAACAGACACGTCTCAAAAGAAGACATTTATGCAGCCAACAAACATATGAAAAAAGCTCATCATCACTGTTCATTAGAGAAATGCACATCAAAACTACAATGAGATGCCCTCTCACACCAGTTAGAATGGTGATCATTAAAAAGTCAGGAAACAACAAATGCTGGAGAGGATGTGGAGAAATACAAACGCTTTTACACTGTCGGTGAGAGTGTAAATTAGTTCAACCATTGAGGAAGATGGTGTGGTGATTCCGCAAGGACTTAGAACCAGGAATACCATTTGACCCAGCAATCCCATTACTGGGTATATACACAAAGGATTATAACTCATTCTACCATAAAGACACATGCATGCATATGTTTACTGCAGCACTATTCACAATAGCAAAGTCTTGGAACCAACCCAAATGCCCATCAAAGATAGACTGGATAAAGAAAACATGGCACATATACACCATGGAATACTATGCAGCCATTAAAAAAGGATGAGTTCAGGTCCTTTGCAGGGACATGAATGAAGCTGAAAACTATCATTCTCAGCAAACTAATACAAGAAATGAAAACCAAACACCACATGTTCTCACTCTTAAGTGGGAGTTGAACAATGAGAACACATGAACACAGGAAGGGGAACATCACACACCGGGGCCTGTATCGGGGTGGGGGTATGGGGGAAGCATAGCATTAGGAGAAATATCTAATGTAGAGAAAGGATTGACGGATGCAGCAAACCACCATGGCACATGTATACCTATGTAACAAAGCTGCACATTCCACACATGACCCCAGAACTTAAAGTATATATATTATATATATGAAAAACATGCTTGAGATGACAGGTATGCTAAGCATCCTAATTTGACCATTACACATTGTATACATGCATCAAAACATCATATTGCATCCCACACTTGCATAATTATTAAATTTAAAATAAAACTTCATTAAAAATTACAAAAAAACAAAAACAGATGGAAACCCGTTACCAAAAACCATTCAGTCTCATTTACAAATAAAAACCATTTTAATTATTTAAAACACCTATTCTCTATCTGCATTTAAACTTAAGGAGAGTAAAAACTCTGATCTTCAACTTCTTCATCTTTATAAGGCTTACAAACGTCATGTTAGACTCTACAGACTGTACGATCACAAGACTAGAAACCTAATGTCTATCAAAAAAATTAAAAATATACATGAGCTGAAATATAGTTAATTATAATTACTTTTCAAAATAGCTGTAAAGATTAAATTAAGCAATCTGAGTAACATAATTGGCATACAGCAAATGTTTAAGAACTGCTAGCTACTACTAGATTCCATTGTTATAAGCAACCTATGCTTATAACTATGCCAGTGGTCTGCAGCTTCTAAGATGGTACCCAATGATTCCTGCCTCCTACTATTGCCCTTGTAATACCCTCCTCAGTATGGGTTGAACATACTGACTTGCAACTAACAAAAAGAACATAGCAAAAATGACAAGATGTTGCTATCACTTTTAAGTTATAAAACAGTAATTTCCACCTTGCTCACACTCTCTCTCTCTGGCTCTTTTTGGTTACTCTCTCTGAAGAAGCAAGCTGCTATGCTGCTGTCAGCTGCTATATGCAGAGGCCCACATGGCAAGGAACTAAGAAAGGCTACCAGCCAATAGCCAACAAAGACCTGAGACTCAGTCCAAAAGCCAATGAAGAACTAAATCCTGCAGACAACCATGTGAATGAGCGTTGAGAGGACAGCAGCCCAGGGAAACACCCGATTGCAGCCTTGTGAGAGATGCTTGGCCAAAAGACCCAGCCAAACTGCACCCAGATTCCTAACTCACAAAAACCATGAGATGATAAATGTTGCTAGAGAATTTGTTACAAAGCAATAGGTAAACAATACAACATATAACAACAATAATTTGCTCCAGAAAAGCTTTTTTGGACCAAGAATGCAGTCTAGTAAATTTTAAAATAAGGCAAAAAGGAATAAACCCAAATAACATCATATCCAGTCGATACCTGTCCTCCTCTTGCCAGCATGCTAACCCATATAGTACTGGTGGGTCGGGAAGAATTCTCCAGACAGGATCTACACTCTCCTGTGTAGGCATATTTAGAATCCTTTTTGGCAAACACATAAACTGTGTTTGTTGCCATTTTCTCTTGGGCAATCAGAACCTATTTGGACAATAAGAAAGTTACAGCCATGAAATTCAAAAAGTCACTAAAGAAGAGAGTAAAATCTACATCTTAATTTAATCTGATTATATAGGTTCACTGAAATATTTAATTATTAACTTTACAAACTCCATTTTGCATAAATACTTCATAGAAATATATAAGCTCCAAAACCGATGAAAACTAACCAAATTTCCAGTGCATACTATATACAGCTAAATAAAGCTTTGGTTTACATAAGTTTAGCTGTCACACCTTAAGTAAGTCAACTGTCACTACCAAGTTATCCTGCATGAAAATCTGTTTTTTTTTTTCATTTCAACTTTAAACTGAATTTTAACTACCATTTTGTAATTTTTTAAAATAATAGTACTATACCTTTTCTGATCCATTAATAATGAAATAGCCACCAGGATCCAAAGGACATTCATTTAACTCACAAAGATCACGATCTGTCAAGCCATTCAAAAGGCAGTAAGTTGACCGCAACATAATTGGAATTTTTCCTATAAAAGTTTTCTGATGTTGAGTCTGAAGTTGTTCTTCACCTTCTTTAATGACTGTTTTTGTTATATCGACATAAAGTGGAGCAGAATACCTTTGAAAATAACAGCAGATCACACTTAAGCAATAGGGTATCTGTTAAAACAAATCCTCAAGTGGTTAAAATTACATTTTCAGAATTTTATTTCAGCATCTACTGCTGACAAGGAAAAATTCTTTCTTACGTGAGATTTCTTAATCTAGCTTCATTGGGCATCATTGGTGAAGGAGCACCATCTCTTTCCCAATGGGTAGGCTTGGAAAGATAAATTTGTTCAAACTTCAGTAAATATCTTGGCTGAAATTAAACAAAAAACATGAAAAAGGTAAATATTTTTTTCCACAAAAGTTTTAATGATTCCATTTTCATCGGCATTAACATTTTAAGTAGAAGCAGCTCTACAAACTGGCAAAATTAATCCATTTTACTGAAATGGGAACTTTCCAGTCAGTATCCATAACACACAAACGTTAAGTTTTAAACCAAATCACTTTCTCTTTTTTTCCTCTTTTCTTAGAAAGATTTTTCACATATGACAGGTAATGTGCTAACAAGGTTTATAACAATGTTTAAGGAAGGCTCATCTCACACCCAATCATCACACTTATGAGCTACAAAAGGATCTGCTAACTGCTTTCTTAAGGCAGAAGACAAAAAGAAATTTAACATACCAAAAGCAAACAGAGACTGTACACATCATGTGCTCTGAGTTTGAATAAAACTGTTAAAATGGTTTTGCATTAATAATCTATATGGTTTCATGTGCCCTCTCCTTGGTTAGGGTCATCAAAAGCACAAAGTGACCAGAGAACAAAGATAACAATTCCAGACAATTAGAACTGTGTTCTAATCTAATCAATAGAATGTTTTAAAAGAATAAACCTGACTCTTCAATTAAACATACAAATTAATCTGTCAAAGGAGTAGAGTTAACAAAAGAAAAAAAAATTTATTTTAAAAAACACACAAGCTGAGTGCAGTGGCTCATGCCTGTAATCCCAGCACTTTGGGAGGCTGCGGCAGGCGGATCACAAGGTCAGGAGATCAAGACCATCCTGACCAACACGGTAAAACCCCATCCACTAAAATACCAAAAAAATTACCCCAGTGTGGTGGCATGCACCTGTAGTCCCAGCTACTCAGGAGGCTGAGGCAGGGAAATGGCTTGAACCCGAGAGGCGGAGGTTGCAGTGAACCAAGATTGTGCCACTGCACTCCAGCCTGAAGACAGCAAGACTCCATCTCAAATAGATAGATAGAGATAGATAGACAGATAGACAGATAGATAGTGTACACAAAAATCCTAATCACTCTATATAAAGGGCTGAGAACTCCAACCCTGGCTGAATATAGCTTAGGCCCATAGCAAAAAAGAAAGTTTTCAATTAAACATTCACTTGCTGCCTAATAAAACAAGATCTATGAGGACAACTTTCTAGAGATAAATGGATAGTGTACTTCTCTCTAAATCAAGCCTCAAAGAAGGAAATAGGACTAAGCAGGTGTTTCACTAGTGATTAATTATTGACACTCAAGTCTCCCAAACTGGGGTAGATAAAAGGCAAAGAGAACTGGTGGTGATAAGAAACCAAAGGGAGGTCAACCCTCCACTCCTTATCTGTGCCATCACCTAGTCTAGGACACTATTATCTTAATCCTAGGCTATTCTAAGATTTTTATCTCCTCTAGCCTCTTTTGTTGTTTTAAGATAAGGTCTCACTCTATCACACAGGCTGGTGTGCAGTGGTGATTTCGGCTCACTGCAACCTCTGCCTCCTAGGTTCAAGCAATTCTCTTGCCTCAGCTTCCCAAGTAGATGGGACTACAGGTGCACGCCACCAGGCCTAGCTCATTTTTCTATTTTTTGGTAGAGGTGGAGATGGAGTTTCACCATGTTGGCCAGGCTGCTCTCAAACTGCTGGCCTCAAGCAATCCACCCACCTAGGTGTCCCAAAGTGCTGGGATTACAGGCATGATCCACCTCACCTGGCCTCCTCTAGCCTCTTTCTATTCCAAGTAAACATCATTTTCCAAAGAAACTTTTCTAAAATAATGCTTGATGTATATTCTTTGACTATCTCTCAATAATTCCTCATAACATCCAATGATACTCAGTTTTCAACAATTGGGTTTCATCTTATCTTCCCAATGCCTATTAAAAACAGATAAACTGAAATCACATATTGATCATTGCGGTCCCCATTCCCATCCCCAGTCTAAATACACCAAGTATTTTCTTTTTTGAGACAGAGTCCCACTCTGTCACCCAGACTGAAGTGCAGTGGTGCAATCTCGGCTAGCTGCAACCTCCACCTCCCGAGTTCAAGCAATTCTCCTGTCTCAGCCTTCCAAGTAGCTGGGGCTACAGGTGCCCGTCACCATGCCCAGCTAATTTTTGTATTTTTAGTAGAGACAGGATTTCACCATATTGGTCATCAAGCTAGTCTCGAACTACTGACCTCAGGTGATCCACTCGCCTCAGCTTCCCAAAGTGCTGGGATTATAGGTGTGAGCCACTATCCCCAGCCACACCAAGTATTTTCTTGCTGAAATGACTAAGCACCTTTCCTCTTCTAAGGGAACTCCTACCTGTCCTTCATAGTAAATTTAAGTCTCTTCCATCTTTTCTACTAAGCTCTGACAACCAAGCATTAGAGATCCCCTCCTCCTGAAGTACTTCCGTTACTGGCACTTTGAATTTGCTATATTATATTATCTTGCTTGTTATACAAAGACCATGAAGAAAAAATGACCCAATGAGCCAGGTGCAGGGGCTCACACCTGTAACCCCAGCACTTTGGGAGGCTGAGGCAGGTGGATCACTTGAAGTCAGGGATTGGAGATCAGCCTGGCCAACATGTGAAACTCCATCTCTACTAAAAATACAAAAAAATTAGCCAGGCGTGGTGGAAGGCGCCTGTAATCCCAGCTACTCAGGAGGCTAAGGCAAGAGAATCACTTGAACCTGGGAGGTGGAGATTGCAGCAAGCTGAGATCTCGCCACTGCACTCCAACCTGGGTGACACAGCAAGACTCTGTCTCAAAGAGAAAAGAAAAAAATGTCCCAAGAATAAAAAAGAAAATTAATGTCCTCTTCCAGCCCTAGAAAACCCAATCACTTTCATTATTAATAGCAAAATTTGGTACAGTATGTCCAACTAAAATGGGAATAACACACCAGCCCTTAGGAGATAAACTACATGGAAGAGAAACTCATCTGGCTAGAAACAATGACCTCTCCCTGTGTCTATTTTGAGGGCTTTCCCTACCTCACTTTGTTTCTCAGTTTTCACTGTCTTTCAAAGCCCAACATGTTCCAACAGCCTCTCAACTGCTCTAAAACTGGACAGTCATTATTATGAACTACAAACCTTTTTTTTTTTTGAGACGGAGTTTTGGTCTTGTTGCCCAGGCTAGAGTGCAATGGTATGATTCAGCTCACTATAACCTCTGCCTCCCAGGTTTAAGCAATTCTCCTGCCTCAGCCTCCCAAGGAGCTGGGATTACAGGCATGCACCACCACACCCGGCTAATTTTGTATTTTTAGTAGAGATGGGTTTCTTCATGTTGGTCAGGTTGTTCTTGAACTCCCAACCTCAGATGATCCATTTGCCTCAGCCTCCCAAGTGCTGGGATTATAGGTGTGAGCCACTGCACCCGGCCAGTTACATACTTCTTTACAACCACTCATGTAAAACCATATTAAAGAATTGTACCCAGCCAGGCGTGGTGGCTCACACCTGTAATCCCAGCACTTTGGGAGGCCAAGGTGGGTGGATCACAAGGTCAGGAGGTCGAGACCAGCCTGACCAACATGGTGAAATCCTGTGTCTACAAAAAATACAAAAATTAGCCAGGTGTGGTAGCAGGCACCTGTAGTCCCAGCTACTCAGGAGACTGAAGCAGGAGAATTGCTTGAACCTGGGAAGCAGATGTTGCAGTGAGCAGAGATGGCACCACTGCACTCTAGCCTAGGTGACAGAGCAAGACTCCATCTCAAAAAATAAAAAATAAAATAAATAAATAAAATTATACCCTTGGTATGATTTTAACAATGCTAAAAAACATGCATATATGTGAGCAAAAGCTACAAGAAGTTTAAAAAAGATTGCTGATATGTTTGGATGATTTTCCTATCTTATCTCATATAATAATGTACTTCATGCAATATATAAAAATCAGAAGAGAAATTCCTTCAAACATTTTTTATTACTTTTACACTATGAGAAAAAAAGTAGGATTATCTATCTAAGGCAATGTAACTGTCTCCGGTTCACTTCTTTTATTTGTCATACTTCAGAATCCTCTCTTCCCAACTATCCAATACCTACTATGTGAATAAGGATGAGATTACTTGCAAAAAATTACACCTCTTCATTAGGGAGAATAAATCAGAAAGTGACTGATGGTGCTGTAAGTACTTTGCTAAAAGCTCCAACTGACTTTTTTTTTTTTTAAAATAAAGATGGGGTTTTACCATGGTGGTCAGGCTGGTCTTGAACTCCCAACCTCAGGTGATCCGCCCATCTTGGCCTCCAAAGTGATTGGATTACAGGCGTGAGCCACCAAGCCCGGCCCCAACTGACTTTTTTTAACCTTTAAGCCAGGTGAAAGAAGGGCTGAAATTTCAAACCAATACTTTTCTTGTACTGGTATAACTATTAGAATTAACCATCTTACCGGTTCTTCAACTTCTCCACTAGCATGCTGAGCTTCAGCTTGTAGGTCTATAGGTGGAGCATCTTCCACAATTCTTTGAACAGACATCTGAATAAACTCATCAAAAGAATCCAGCTGTTGTCTGACCAACCCTTTCTCATCAAAATAGGAACTGGGAAAATATTTGAGTTCAGTCAGTTGCAACTCAGTGATAATTTCTAGCATAACTCCCAATTTTCATTATAATCAATTCAACAAACAATCATTAAATACCAACCATTATATGTCAACCACTAAACAAGATACTATGAGGTATCTTAAAAAGGATGAAGCCAGGCACATTTTCTTCGTAAAATGTATTATTTGGGGAAAAACAGCTTATATTTGTGGGTAAAATACTTAAAGCACAATATAAGAACTCTAAGGATCCAAGCTCTGGGAGGCCAAGGCAGGAGGATTGCTTAAATACATCCTGGGCAACATAATGAGACATTTCTACAAATAAGAAAAAAATTAGCCAGACACGGTGGCATGTGCCTATAGTCCCAAGTATTTAAGAGATGGGGGATCCCTTGAGCCCAGGAGTTTGAGACTGCATTGAGTCATGATGGCATCATTGGCACTCCAGCCTCAGAGATAGTGAGACTCCATCTCAAAAAAAAAAAAAAAAAAACTCCATGTCCTTTACAGACAAATTTTATTCCACCTCTTTGAAATATTTCTAGAAAAATGTGTCAGGAGAGAAAATTAACAGTCAAAGTTAACAATAAGAACTTTAATTTGAATAGGAGGGAAGTAGTGATATCAATGACTAAAACAGAAAATACGTGAGAAAATCATTAGTTCTATTTTGAATTGTCAAAGGTAGGATGAGAATAAGTCATTTACATGAAAGTACTCAGCAAAAGACTGGTGAAAAAAATGTAGCATGGCTGAGATATCAGAGCCAGCAGTGTAGATATAGAAATCACATGGTTTTCTGTATCTACAATCTAGAGTAGACATTATTTTCACAAGGAACAGATGCTTTTCAGGTGAGGCGTGGGGAAAGACATAAAGATACAAGTAGATACAAGTACAAGAGGATCTCAACAGATCACTCCCCACTACCATCCAGGAACAGCTGCAAAGCTGGGCATCACAGAGGCTAGAGGAGTGCTGAGATCTAGCACCCTAAAGATTATCTCATCACCCCTCAGCAGCAGGAAGTACTCCACCACATCTCCACGTCTCCACTCCTGTTTCTTGTGACCTCTATCATCTTATATCTGTGAGACCTTCTTAGTTTCTAATCCCCAACTACTGACTTCCCCACCTTCACATCAATTTTCTGAGACAATATGCAGAGTCCACCTAATCATCAGCTTCCCATTTTATCAGGTCACCTCACACTTCAGTGACAGGCCAACAAATTGGCGGGTTTTCAGTCATGGCCCCACCCTGATCCAGTCAAGTACAGTTACCAATATCAGAAGTTAGCTTCTACAGCAGAAAACACAGTAGACAACCATACATGTGTAAGGTATGACCTAAATAATAGTTGGGGCAATTTATTTCAGTAGCGACTATCACATAACAGGAAAGAAATTTCTCACAACCATTTGGATTAGCCTTTGATATGTAAGAAAAACACGGCGTTGCCCGTAATATAAATAGCAATGGTTTATTATAGGCAATTTAAGATGAAATATCTTCTAAAACCATAGATAAGTTTCATGACCCTAGGAAGCTGAACTATAGCTACTTTCCCCAAAATTAATAGAATGGGACTTCATTAGAATGTCATCCTTTAAACATCTAAACTATATAAATATTTCATTTTTATGGTATCTACTCTAATGTTTATTTTACCCTGAGATCATCTTACAAAGTTACTTGTGATAACACTGCATCAGGCCACGAATACCTTTTTTAACAAAACAACCGTCAAGAAAGGTATTCAGTTATACTCCAAATACAACTGGCAAAATGTCAGAAGCATGTTTTCTTTGAAAAGGGAGAATGTTGGTCAGGCACAGTGGCTCACGCCTGTAATTCCAGCACCTTGGGAGACCAAGGAGGGTAGATCACCTGAGTTCGAGACCAGCCTGACCACTATGACGAAACCCTGTCTCTACCAAAAATATATAAATTACCCGGGCCTGATGGCACCTTAATCCCAGCTACTCGGGAGGCTGAGACAGGAGAATCGCTTGAACCCAGGAGGCGGAGGTTGCTGTGAGCTGAGACTGCGCCATTGCACTACAGCCTGGGCAACAAGAGCAAAACTCCATCTCAAAAGAAAAGGAAAAGGGAGACTGTTGACCAAGAGGACATGCACCTTGGAGCTGCTGGGGCTCAGAGAGGCATCTATTATCAGGTTATTACATATAAAGCAGGTGTCAGGGAGTGAGAGAAGAGTTATAAGCCTTTAACCATCCGAACATAACAAGATGTTACTTTACCACTTGTAAGTTACTTTTCTTATCTATATAATGCTTGTCAGAATTTTATTATGTTTTAGTTACACTTTGAATTGGATGGGAATTTGGGGTAAAATACAACCAATTTTAACTTTGTCCATTTAAAACAAGGAGAAAACCAAGGAATCAAATTAACATTACTAGTAATGAAACAAATGTGCCTCCTGCAATGAGGCACTGAGACAATGTCACTTCTGTCAAAAGTAATCATCTGAATCTAATTATGAGAAATAGCAGACAAACCTAAACTGAAAGGCATCCTAAAAAGTAACTCGCCAGTATTCTTCAAAAATGTCAAGGTTTAAAAAAAGGGGGCCAGGCAGGGTGGATCACGCCTATACTCCTGGCACTTTGGGAGGCTGAGGGAGGCGGATCACGAGGTCTGGACATCATGATACCCCGTCTCTACCAAAAAAGTATAAAAAATTAGCCAGGTTTGGTGGTATGCACCTGTAATCCCAGCTACTTGGGAGGCTGAGGCAGGAGAACTGCTTGAAAATGGGAGGCGGAGGTTGCAGTGAGCCGAGATCACACCACTGCACTATAGCCTAAGCAACAGAGCAAGACTTCGTCTCAAAAAGAAAAAAAGAACAGACACCCTGATTAAGTGTTTCAGATTAAAGGAAGCAAAAGAATATGCCATGAAAACTAAATCCAGTATGTGATTCTAGGTTGGACCCAGGATCAGATAAATTTTTATTTTGCTGGCTGGGCATGGTGGCTCACGCCTGTAATCCCAGCATTCTGGGAGGCCAGGGCAGGTGGATCACGAGGTCAGGAGCTCAAGGTCAGCCTGGCCAACACAGTGAAACCCCGTCTCTACTAAAAAAATGTAACAAAATTAGCTGGACACGGTGGTGGGTGCCTGTAATCTCTGCTACTCAAGAGGCTGAGGCAGGACAAGTTACCAATATCAGAAGTTAGCTTCTACAGCAGAAAACACAGTAGACAACCATACATGTGTAAGGTATGACCTAAATAATAGTTGGGGCAATTTATCTCAGTAGCGACTGTCACATAACAGGAAAGAAATTTCTCACAACCATTTGGATTAGCCTTTGATATGTAAGAAAAACACTTGAATACAGGAGGTGGAGGTTGAAGTGAGCCAAGACTGCGCCATTGCACTCTAGCCTGGGCAACAAGAGTGAAATTCTGTCTCAAAAATAAAATAAGATAAATTTTTATTTTGCTCTAAATATCAGTGAGACAACTGGCAAAATGTAGGTAAGGTCCATAGATTAAATAAGATCACCATAATCGTGATTATGTAAAAAAAATGTCCTTATGTCTGCAAGTGTTTTTGTTTTGTTTCAGGGTCAGCTGGACATGGTGGCTCATGTCTGTAATCCCAGCACTTTGGGAGGCTGAGGTACATAGTAGATCACAAGGTCAAGAGATTGAGACCATCCTGGCCAACATGGTGAAACTCCCTTTCTACCAAAAATACAAAAATTAGCTGAGTGTGGTGGCGTGCACCTGTAGTCCCAGCTACTTGGGAGCCTGAGGTAGAAGAATCACTTGAACCCAGAAGAGAGAAGTTGCAGTGAGCCAAAATCGTGCTACTACATCCAGCCTGGTGACAGAGTGAGACTTCATCTCAAAAACAAAAAAAAAAAGAAAAAAGAAACAGGGTCTCACTTTGCCACACAGGCTGGAGTGCAGTGGTGAGATCTCAGCTCACTGTAGCCTCAACCTCCCACGCTCAAGTGATCTGTAAGTTACTCTCACCATGTTTCAGAAAAAAGTATGTACAAAAAGGAAAAAAGACAAAGAAAACGTAGTACGAGATAATATTTTCAGAATCTGCGTGAAGTGATTAAATGATTTCTTTGTGCAACTTTTAGGTCTGAAATACTTTAAAAATATATAAATAAAATAATAAATACTCTCATATAGCATATTTATACAGAACATCTATTTATCAAGAATAAGCAGAAAATCTACAGTGTCTTTTCAAGCTTATTCAGTTTGGTCCATAGTTACCTGATTACAATCCAGCATGCTTCTTGCCACAAATCCGGAGTGATTTCATCATCATCCTCATCATACTGCATATCTGTAAAAACAAAATATTATACTCATTTGCAACAAGATGCCACTTAGTTAACATCTTGCTCCTACGACTTTACATATGACTTTAAGTAGCAAAAACATATTTTCTTTCTGCTGAATAAGTAATCCTTTCACCCCACTTTTCTAAATTTCAATTACATTAATAAAATAATTTATGTCTGCCACACAGGTATTCTTTCAATACACAAAGAGGCTTACTAGAAAGGTTCAATGTAAGTTGTATGAATTTTAAGTTTTCCATTTTATTGATCAATAAGATTTTCAGAGACTAGAGTCAGAGAACAGGGTAAGGGGGCAGAGCCATGGAAGGATTCCAACAGCTGGGCAACACCCTAAGGTGGGGTGATCTATTACAGCAACATTTCATACATGTACAGGTATGAAAGATTGCATTTTCCAAACATGCCACAAGCCTATCTCCCATCCCACATGGTCTTCTATAAAGTGATCTTAATACTCCTATCATCAGATATAGTGGTCTATGCATCCTTTCTCTGAATCTGGGTAGCCTTTGACTCTCCTGTAACTAGGAGAATGCAGCTGAAGGTCAGGCGTGGTGGCTCACACCTGTAATCCCAACACTTTGGAAGGCCAAGGCGGGCGGATCACCTGAGGTTGGGAGTTTGAGACCAGCCTGACCAACATGGTGAAACCCTGTCTCTACTAAAAATACAAAATCAGCCAGGCATGGTGGCACATGCCTATAATCCCAGCCACTTGGGAGGCCAAAGAAGGAGAATCACTTGAACCAGGGCGGCAGAGGCTGCAGTGAGCCAAGATTGCACCATTGCACTCCAGCCTGGGCAACAAAAGCAAAACTCCATCTCAAAAAAAAAAAGAATGTAGCTGAAGTAATGCTGCAATGCTGCATGACTTCAAAAGCAAGATCAGAAAAGGCAATGCAGTTTCTGTAATGTATGTTAAAACACTTGCTTCTGGAGCCCTGAGCTGTCATTAAAAAGTCAGACACAGGCCAGGCACAGTGGCTCAGGTCTATAATCCTAGCACTTTGGGAGGCCAAAGGTGGATGGATCACTGGTGGGAGGTCAGGAGTTCAAGACCAGCCAAGCCAATATGGCAAAACCCAGTCTCTACTAAAAAATACAAAACTTAGCTGGGCATGGGGGCACATGCCTGTAATCCCAGCTACTCAGGAGGCTGAGGCAGGAGAATTGCTTGAACCCAGGAGACAGAGGTTGCAGTGAACTGAGATGGCACCACTCCTGCCTAGGCAACAGAGCAAGACTCCATCTTAAAAAAATTTTTTTTTTTAATTTTTAAGTCAAACACTATTCTGAAGCTGCTACATTCTGAGGAAGCCCAGACTGTAAGGAGAGGCCACTTACAGGTACTCCATTAGCAATTTTAGTCCTTGAGTCCTACTGGGATATGTCTCATGTCAGACATGAGTGTCAATACTATAGATCTGTCACCCAGCTGTCAACATTCAGCCTTAATGACTTCCCAAATGAACAAGATTCACAGTGGAACACAGGCAAGTCATGCCTGTTATGCCCTGTTCAAAATCTTGACCTACAGTATCCATGAACATAACAAAGAAATTTTTTAAGTAGCTAAATTTTAGTGTAGTTGTACAATAGTAATTTACGCATTCAAAAGAATCAGTGTGCATTGTTCCTCCAATATTAGTCCAATCTTCTTATGTGAAAGAAGAAGTGTGCTGTATTTTTGGGGTTTATTCTAATGTACACAAATATAGCCTGTAAACCTTAAGAGCTTTGGGTTCAAAATCTGATACATATACAAAATAAATTTTTAATAAATCCTTCTTGAATGGACTGAAATTATCAATCCTTACACATGGGGAAAGGGTAAGAAAGACAAAACTATCTATGATAGCTCAGATATTTCTAGCTTTGATGGGAGATTAAAAGCTAGTATCACTGCCACAGAGGAGCAAGTAAAATGGTAGAAGAAAGAGGTCATGATTAGGTCGGCTTTAGAGATATCTGTAGATCAAATACACACGTGTATGAATATAAACTCAAATGAACAGTCTAAATTATAAACAAAGAACATGTGACACATAATCAATATACACTGACACATAACAGACGTAGATCTATTATGTATCAATAAACGTTTTAAACTTTGAAAAAAGTACAGAGTTGGAATCATTAATAAATGAGCAATAGAAAAAGGAGATTTTACACAGAGAAGGAAGACTGAAGGCAGGGTACTTGGGAACACTTTTGTTTAAGGGTCATATGAAAAAGAAAACGAACCCATAAAGGAGACTCATTTACTCATCCATTCATCAAATTTTTTCTGAGGCAGGACGCAGTGGCTCACGCCTGTAATCCCAGCACTTTGGGAGGCCAAGGTGGGTGGATCCCCTGAGGTCAGGAGTTCAAGACCAGCCTGACCAACATGAAGAAATCCCATCTCTATTAAAAAAAATTTTTTTAATTTAGCTGGGTGTGATGGCACATGCCTGTAATCCCAGCTCCTCGGGAGTCTGAAGCAGGAGTAATGGCTTGAACCCCGGAGGTGGAGGTTGCGGTGAGTTGAGATCACACCGTGCCGAGATCACGCCATTACACTCCAGCCTGGGCAACAAGAGCAAAACTCTGTCTCAAAAAAAAAAAAAAAAAAAGTTTAACTTGTTTCCATGTGGATGACAGAAATCCAACACTTTCACATAGAAAGAAGCCAGCTGAAAAGGAGTCGCTAAAAACTGATGAGGACATACCTAATAAACATTTTAGATGACATGGGCACAAATAAAATGTAGCTTCACTGCTAAAGCAACTCTGATTAACTCTTGTTTTCCCACAGGATCATTATACATGACCAATAAGAATACAAAATTAGAACAGTCACCACTGTGGTGGTCACTTGCCACCATTTAGCAAAATCTTAAAGGTGCGTATCATCTGACCTGACAATTTTATATGTAGGAATGTATCCTAAAGACATATTTGGGCAAATTATATGTACAAGATTATTCACTCTCAGTACTGTTTTAACGGAAAAAGACTAGAAATAAATCAAATCAAATATCCATCAAGACACTAAAGTTACATCCACACAAACTATTTAGCTGGGGGCGGAGGCAGGGGCGGCAGCAAGTGATGCTCTCTGTGTACTGACAAGAACATCTCCATTAAGCAAAATCTAAAAGTGGAGTAAAGTGTAAACGTTACTTTCTGTCCTTAAAAAAAGAAAACAATCCCATTTATATTTGCTTAAATATGCATAAAGAAACTGTAGAGGCTGTGCGCCAATGCCTCAGACCTGTAATCCCAGCACTTTGGGAGGCCGAGGCAGGTGAATCACTGAGGTCAGGAGTTTGAGATCAGCCTAGCCAACAAGGAGAAACCCCATCTCTACTAAATGTACAAAAATTAGCTGGGCATGGTGGTGCACGCCTGTAATTCCAGCTACCTGGGAGGCTGAGACAGGAGAACTGATTGAACCAGGGAGGCAATGGTTAGTAAGCCAAGATTGCACTACTGCACTCAAGCCTGGGTACAGAGCAATACTCTGTCAAAAAACAAAAAGAAACTGTGGAGTGATAAGAACCTATTATAACACTAGTTGCCTACTGTGGTCAACTGGGCAGATGGTAGATAAGAAGGAGACCTAACACTTTTAACTTTTTTTTTTTTTTTTTTGGAGACGGTCTCACTTTGTCCTCAACTTACAGCAGTGTCAACTTCCCAAGCTCAAGTGATCCTCCTGCCTCAGCCACCCAAGTAGCTGGGACTATAGGTGAGCACCACCACACTCTAGCTAATTTTTTACAGAGAGGGGGGTCTCCCGTGTTGCCCAGGCTGGTCTCAGTTGTTAAAGTAGCCACCGTATTTTAACATTTTTAAATTTTCTGGTTTGTGAGCTATGAGAATATATTACCTAGCCAAAAATTATGCTTTAAAAAATCTTTTTTTCTATTTTTCTTCTACTGAGAGAGTAGTTAACAGGGAATATGATGATGCTAATACATTTCTGGAACACAAGATATTAATGAGAAAGAAGTTTAAACAGCTTTAAAAGTTTAAGCTTTTGGGCAGGGACAGTGGCTCATGCCTGTAATCCCTGCATTTTGGGAGGTCAAGTCAGGCGGATGGCTTGATCTCAGGAATTTGAGACCAGCCTGGGCAACATGGCTAGACCCCATCTCTTTTAAAAAAAAAAAAAAAAAAAAAAGAGGCGAGGTAGCGCACACTTGTAATCCCAGCACTTTGGGAGGCTGAGGTGGGCAGATCACAAGATCAGGAGTTCGAGACCAGCCTGGCCAACAGAGTGAAACCCCTCTCTTCTACTAAAAGTACAAAAATAAACTGGGTGTGGTGGTGGGGACCTGTAATCCCAGCTACTCGGGAGGCTGAGGCAGGAGAATCGCTTGAACCCAGGAGGCGGAGGTTGCAAAGAGCCAAGATCGTGCCACTGCACTCCAGCCTAGAGCTAGACTGAGTCTCAAAAGAAAAAAAAAGTTTAAGCTTTTGCTTCAATTTTTTCCATCTAATTTATCAGAAGTAGCTGAGGAAATAGAGATGTAAGGGGTAGCCACAGAATTAAGAGCTAGAAGAAAATAAGGTTTGAATTAGTAGATACGGAGAATGGAAAAGGCAGCTATGGAAAAGGCAGCTACGAAAATACACTAGACTCGACTAAGAATTTTTTTTTTTTTTTGAGATGGGTGTCACTCAGGCTGGAGTGCAGTGGTGCAATCTCGGGTCACTGCAACCTCCGCCTCCTGGGTTCAAGTGATCCTCCGGTCTCAGCCTCCTGAGTAGACGGGAATCCAGGCGCAGGCCACCACACTCAGCTAATTTTTCTATTTTTAGTAGATATGGGATTTCCCCCATGTTGGTCAGGCTGGTCTCAAGCAATCGGCGCGCCTCGGCCTCCCAAAGTGCTGGGGTGAGCCATTGCACTCAGCCACTACTAAGAAATCTATATGCGCAAAGAAAAAGCTATACACTGGTCCGGTGCAACAGAATATATATCATCTGAGAACTGTGGCATTGTGAGAAGAAGGTTAAAGGCCATCCTTTAAGACAATTTCACTTACAAAAAGCATGAAGAAATGTGAGACTAAACCGTTTCGCCCCCCACCCCCCTCCTCCGATAGTCTGTCCCGGTGTATTTCCAGGGCCTTCCGCATTGCCTTGCACATGCTGACATCAATTGAGCTATTCAGTAAATCGACTGTGGCTTTTAGGATAATTTTTAAAGGGTGCCCTTTGCTTCAGACAAATTCAAAACAACGGAATTTATCTTACGGTTCTGCACGCTACTACAATACAGGAGGCGGGGATTAGATCTAACGGAACGAAAAAGGGCAGAGAGCAGCAGTGAACCTAATCAGCAACATTAATGCTATGTTCCCTGCACCCTCTGCCCCTCCCTAGCCTAGTTTCGTTCCCGGCGTGGAAAGTATGGTAACAAGGCTGGGGACCACGCGGCCGGCGCGTGGGAAGGCCCCAAATCCTCCATCCGACCACTTCCCCACGCTTCCCTGCTTAAATGGACCGCCATGGCGTGTGTTTTGAGTGTTCACCTACCCTCATCCGCGTCGTACATACTGCCAAAAGATTCCCGAGTTCCTAACTCTAGAAACCGAAAAGACAAAAGAGCGCACAGAAGCCACCAGCGTCTGGAGCTATAGACGAATTAACTTCCGTCTCCAGCGTTCCCAGAATACTATGCGTCTCACACGAAGGCCGCCCACAAGGACGCCAAAGTTAGGATCTGCGCCTGCGCAAAGTGTAGGGCGCGCTGGGGCGGGCATTAGAGTTGCCTACGCGCAAATTGTGTGCCGCCGCTGTTGGTGGCTGATTGAAAAGACAGCTCTCGCAATCTGCGGTCGGATCCGTCCCGTGAATGTTTTATTTCTGCTTGTTTTTTAATGTTGTTGCACAAATAACGACAGCTGAAAACAAAACCAAGTATAGTTATTAATAAAAAGTGTTCGTTCTGTGAATCCGCGACATTGGGATGTTAAATTTATTTGCCTTTTTAAGGACCAAAACAACACGAAGCTATGTTTTATTTTTATTTATTTAATTTTTGAAACGGAGTCTCGTTCTGTTGCCCAGACTGGAGTGCAGTGGAGTGATCTTCGCTCACTGCAACTTCTGCCTCCCAGGTTCAAGCGATTCTCCTGTCTCTGCCTCCCAGGTAGCTGGGATTACAGGCGCGCGCCACCATGCCCAGCTAATTTTTGTATTTTTAGTAGAGACGGGGCTTTCACCATGTTGGCCGGGCTGGTCTCGAACTGCTGACCTGAGGTGATCCACCCGCCTCGGCCTCTCCAAGTGCTGACAGACGTGAGCCACGCGCCCGGCCGGAAGCTCGTTTTTAAATGTGATTTATTAAGGGCTGCTTGTGATAGCAGTGAGGCGTTAAAGATGGTGGAAAGTGAAAAACCGGCCGGGCGCGGTGGCTCACGCCTATAATCCCTGCACTTTGGGAGGCCGAGGCGGGTGGATCACGAGGTCAAGAGATCGAGACCATCCTGGTCAACAAGGTGAAACCCTGTCTCTACTAAAAATACAAAAATTAGCTGGGCATGGTGGTGCGCACCTGTAGTCCCAGCTACTCGGGAGGCTGAGGCAATAGAATTGCTTGAACCCAGACGGCAGACGTTGCGGTGAGCCGAGATCGTGCCATTGCACTCCAGTCTGGGTAACAACAGCGAAACTCCGTCTCAAAAAAAAAAGAAAGTGAAAAACCCAAAGCACACGCAGATCTCTTCCGCCCACCTAGCTTAACCCTCCGGTGCCTTTGCGGCAGCTTTAACTAGGTTCTCAGTCTCAGCGCTTTAATCGCGAGAACACACGGGATTAGACAGGAGAAGAACCAAGACACCTCCCAAGTACCCACGCGCTTTAGTCTCGGGTCTCGCGCGCCTCGGGGCCTAGTGAGCGCGCGAGCTTGTGGCTCCGCCCCTTCGCCTGGAGCTACTTCCTCATGCTGCCTGCGCGCCTAACGTTCAGGCTCTTGAGCCCTTTCCTGCGTGGATCCGTTCCCACGGCCGCGCTCCATGGCCTCCCGGAGCCGTTCCTGGGGAGGAGGTGCCCTGCCGCCTCCTCCTTCCGGAGCTCATCGAGCCTGGGACGCGAGATTCCTCATGACCCGGTGAACACGAAGGACTTCGAAGAAAGTGCTGACATGCAGGAGCATTTTCTCTTCCCAGAGTACCTCCTCGAGCCGGAGCCGGAACCTACCCCCAAAGAGCAGCTGCGGGAGCTCCAGCAGCAGCAGGAGGAGGAGGAACAACAGAGGCAGCAGCGGCAAGAGGAGCGGCGACAGCAAAACCTACGGGCCAGGTACCGGGAGCCCCGGGTCCTGGGGCACCCGGACCCGGCAGTGCAGCCCAGCGGCGTGAACTGCTCGGGCTGCGGGGCAGAGCTGCACTGCCAGGACCCCGGCATGCCCGGCTACCTGCCTCACGAGAAGTTTCTCCGCGCGGCGGAGGCAGGCGGCGGGCTGACGCGGACCGTGTGTCAGCGCTGCTGGCTGCTAGTGCACCACCGGCGCGCTCTGCACCTGCAGGTGAGCCGTGGCCAGTACCTGGAGCTGGTGAGCGCGGCTCTGCGGCGGCCGGGGCCCTCCCTAGTGCTCTACATGGTGGACCTGCTCGACCTGCCCGACGCCCTGCTGCCGGACTTGCCCGCGCTGGTGGGATCCAAGCAGCTGATCGTGCTGGGAAACAAAGTGGACCTCCTGCCCCAGGATACTACTGGCTACAGGAACAGGCTGCGGGAGCGACTCTGGGACGACTGTGCCCGCGCTGGACTGCTGCTGGCCCCTGGCCACCGAGGGCCACAGGACCGGGAGAATTCGAATCCGTCAGACTGGTCCCGCACTGTGGTCAGGGACGTGCGGCTGATCAGCGCCAAGACCGGCTATGGAGTGGAAGAGTTGATCTCTGCCCTTCAGAGCTCCTGGCGATACCGTGGGGACGTCTACTTGGTGGGCGCCACCAACGCTGGCAAATCCACTCTCTTTAACACACTCCTGGAGTCCGATTACTGCACCGCCAAGGGCGCCGAGGCCATCGACAGGGCCACCATCTCCCCTTGGCCAGGTGAGTCTTAGGAGGCTCGCCCTCTTCGTTTTCTGACAAGGTGGACGTCTGGTCCTGGCGGAGGCACCGAGTACATCCTCCCTTAATGTCCACTACGCTGCCTGAACCCTTCCCTTTACAAATTCCCTCCCCACTCTGGTCACACCTCTCTTCTGTGTCAGCTTATTGCTAGGAAAAATTGAGGATGTGTTGTAGTAATTTTCTAACGGAAGTGATTATGGAGCACTTCTCTGTTCCCAGTCACTAGGCGCTGGAGATACACCAGGGAACAAAGCAAGGAAATGGAAAGTTCCTGTTCGGGAGATTTGCTTTGTAACTACTTTGTATGTTGTTCTAGAAAGTGTGTGTTCTTTTTACTTTCTGAACCTCTCTCCACCCCTCAATCTTACTGTTCACATGTTGGGTTTATTCTTATGAAACCAGTGTACTATACACATACAACATGTGAGTAATTCGTTAATGACATTTGTGATTTTGGTTTTTGAGACGGAGTCTCTGTCGCCCAGGCTGGAGTGCAGTGGCGTGATCTCAGCTCACTGCAACCTCCACCTCCTGGGTTCAAGTGATTCTCCTGCCTCAGCCTCCCAAGTAGCTAGGATTACAGGCATGCACCACCACACCCGGCTAATTTTTGTATTTTTAGTAGAGACAGGGTTTCACCATGTTGGTCAGGCCGGTCTTAAACTCCCAACCTCGTGATTACCCCCCCACCTCGGCCTCCCAAAGTGTTGGAATTACAGGTGTGAGCCACCACACCCAGCCTAATTTTCGTATTTTTAGTAGAAATGGGGTTTCGCCACATTGCCCAGGCTGATCTAGAACTCCTGACCTCAGGTGATCTGCCTGCCTTGGCCTCCCAAAGTGCTGGAATTACAGGCAGGCACCACCATGCCCAGCTAATTTTTGTATCTTTAGTAGAGACCGGGTTTCACCATGTTGGCTAGGTGGGTGTCCAACTCCTAACCTCAAGTGATTTGCCCACCTTGTCCTCCCAAAGTACTAGGATTACGGGTGTGAGCCATGACATCCAGCCCATTAGTGCAATTTGATGTGTGGCTTCCCCAGGCTCAGTGTCTCAGATCTGTAATTCTAGTACCTTGGGAGGCCAAGGCAGGCAGATTGCTTGAGCTCAGGAGTTCAAGACCAGCCTGGGCAACGTGGTAAAACCCTGTCTCTACTAAAAATGCAAAAATTAGCCAGGCTTCGTGACGCATGCCTGTAGTTCCAGCTACTCAGGAAGCTGAGATAGGAGAATCACCTAAGCCCAGAAAGTCAAGGCGGCAGTAAGCCCTAATTGGGCCACCTCACTCCAGTCCTGCCTTGACAACAGAGTGAGACCCCAGAAAACGGAAGTATCAGCCTTGTGACTTTAAGAAACTTCTGTGGCCAGGTGCAGTGACTCACACCTGTAATCCCAGCACTTTGGGAGGCCGAGGTGGTCAGATCACCTGAGGTCAGGAGTTCAAGACCAGCTTAGCCAACATGGCGAAATCCTTGTCTCTACTAAAAATACAAAAATTTACCAGGTGTGATAGTTGGTGCCTGTAATCCCAGCTACTCAGGAGGCTGAGACTGGAGAATCACTTGAACCTGGGAGGCTGAGCCGAGATCGCACCATTGCACTCCAGCCTGGGAAACAACAAGACTGTCTCAAAAACAAGAAAGAAAGAAAGAAAGAGAAAATTCTGTAATCTGTAATTGGAAAACGAGTCCTTCTATGGTTTAAATTTTTTGTTTTTGTTTTTGTTTTTTGAGACCGAGTCTCACTCTTGTCGCCCAGGCTGGAGTGCAGTGGCGTGATCTCTGCTCATGGCAACTCCCACCTCGCAGGTTCAAGCCATTCTCCCCAAGTAGCTGGGACTACAAGGGCACACCACCACACCTGGCTAGTTTTTTGTATTTTTAGTAGAGACAGGGTTTCACCATGCTAGCGAGGATGGTCTTGAACTCCTGACCTCAATTAATTCACCTGCCTGGGCCTCCCAGAGTGCCGGGATTACAGGGTGGGCCACCATGCCAGACCAGGTTTAAATTTAAGGTGACAAAAGTGACTGCCCCATTTGTTCCCTTGAAACCAGAGTTTCGTTCTTTTCTGTCTTGCACTTTGAATTTTACACAGAATTACTTTTATACTGGATGTTAATGTGATGAAAATGGAAAGAAATCAGGCCTGCGGATTTTGGATTCAAATTCTGGTTTACCTTGTGAGCCAGTCTCTTAACCTATTTCTTCATTTGTAAAGTGGTAGTAATTTTATATTTTATTACAGTAACTAACACAGTGTAGAGCCTGAAAAATGTTCATTTTCTAACCCTCATTCCCTTTTCTAAAGATGTATTTATTCTGTGTATTTCAGGTACTACATTAAACCTTCTGAAGTTTCCTATTTGCAACCCAACTCCTTACAGAATGTTTAAAAGGCAACAAAGACTTAAAAATGATTCAACTCAAGCTGAAGACGATCTTAGTGAGCAAGAACAAAATCAGCTTAATTTCCTGAAAAAGCATGGTTATGTTGTAGGTAAGCATCCTCTGTGGGAAAACCCTTGTAGGTACTATGCTAAAATTCTTTGTTAAGCAACCTGAAATACAGCTGTCTGAGGTTAGCCAGTTTTTGTGGGGAGAGACTGCCTGCCTTATTCTGCAACAAAGAAGCCCTTTAGTGGTAAGGGTACTGTTTGGAAACCCAGAGCAGTACAGGTAGTAAAGTTTTGACTCCATGCAGCAGCTTTAAATTAGGTTGTCTGTCTTTTCTTGGTACATCTTTTTAGCCTTTTTTTAAAACAGTTTGATTTCCACACACCCTCGCCCCCCCACCACTCCAAGTACACAGCCAGCCACACCCTTGATTATTTCAAGAGGCTGACTCCCACTGCATTTGGGAAAAAAAAGCAAAAGTGTCATTGTAGTCTCACTTTTATATACTATAATCCTAGTAACTTGTTTGGGGGAAACATAAAAATTCTGTCTGGAGTCAAAAGTATTAAAAGAGTGACTAATAACCTTAATATAACTTGTTCTAGGAAGAGTTGGAAGGACATTCTTGTATTCAGAAAAACAGAAGGATAAAGCTCCCTTGAAGTATAAAGTTCCGTTTGAGTTTGATGCTGATTCACTTGCCTTTGACATGGAAAATGAACCTGTAATGGGTGCACCCAAATCCACCAAACAAGTACAATTGACTGCACAAGATGTAAAAGATGCCCACTGGCTTTATGACACCCCTGGAATTACAAAAGAAAATTGTGTATGTATTTGGTTTCTTTTAGAAACATTTACTTTTTTTTGTTTTTTAGTGGGTTTATGTTGAATTGCCTGCTGCCCAGATACAGCCAATTTAGCAAGACTGGAATTGCAATAGAGAAAGAGTATAATGCATGTAGAGCCAGCTAAACTGGAAACTGGAGTTTTGTTACTACTTATATCAGCCTCTGAAACATTTACTTTCAATTGCACAAGTACTATGGTCTTAATTGGCAGAAAACAGGAAACAAAGTATACTTCCATTTTAGACTCAGTTCTGATTCATTCATAAAAGCTGTTTAGGGATGAATCTATATCCCATCAAGTTCTCTATTCCATTTGATAGACTTCATTGCTGTCAACCAACTTATTTTATCACTGTGATTGCTACCTTAGTTAGGGAAACATTTACAAAAGCCTACGTTTTGAGGCTGAAAAAAACATGAATATCACTGGAGTCCAGCTCCATAGTCCCTGTGTGTATTACCTCTATAATATATCCATCAAGGGGTCCTCCATCTTGAACTGAAAGGAGTGACTCACCATTAGCTGAAATTGTGTCACGTCACCTTCCAAGATAACCCATTTGGGTCTTCGACCTTCTCTTTGTATTGAGTGTATTGAGCTGAACAATCTCCCTACAACATGTACCCATTGTTCCCCAAAGCCATCTGGGACTAACATATTTCCCTTGACAGACTTTGAAATACTTTAAAGTGTAATGTCCTATCTCTTCTTCACCTACCCCTTCCTTTTCTTATCTTTCGTTAGTTTATCCAGCAAATATTGAGCATTTACTGTGCTGATAATCTGGGATTATTTGTCTTCATTCCCTACAGCACCGCTGCCTGAGAAACAGGCTATTCATTGGCCCAGGCCTCTTCAGAATGTTTTCTATGTTTGTTCTTAAAGTGTGACACTGAGAACTAAGTGCTCTCAGGTGAGCATGAGTTAGAATAGCATTAACTCCACCTGTCTTATCCCTGTGCCTCTCTTTAATCCAGTTGCTCATGGATAACTTTGGGTCTTATAGGTAACTTTGACTTTGTCGAATTAAATTCATTCTATATCTTATTCTATTAAATATTCATTAAATCTCATTACTTTTTATATTTGCAGTTTGAATCTTCATTCAGATCATTGATTGACTCAAATGTGCATCCAGGATACAGCCTCACAACAGATTCATTAATCACGTCCTTTGAATCTAGTTACTGACCAGTTTCTGAATATTCTAATTATCTTTGTATCTCCCTACAAAACCACATGGGTTTCTTAGGTACTTTTTTTGGCCTCATCAGGAACACTTACATTCTCAGAATGGTGTTCTATTTGGTGTCCCGTCACTGAATCGTAGACCTTTTAACTCTGTTGCCCTCCTAGAATAATTGCTCATGCCATCTTTTCCTCCTTAGTAGTCCATAAGTTCAGAACTGCTTTCTTTTTTTTTTTTTTTTTTTTGAGATGGAGTTTCATTCTTGTTACCCAAACTGGAGTGCAATAGCACCATCTCGGCTCACTGCAACCTCAGCCTCCCAAGTAACTGGGATTACAGGCGTTCACCACCATGCCCAGCTAATTTTTTTGTATTTTTAGTAGAGATGGGGTTTCACCATGTTGACCAGGATGGTCTCGATCTCTTGACCTCGTGATCCACCTGCCTCATCTTCCCAAAGTGCTGGGATTATAGGCATGAGCCACTGCACCCGGCCAAGAACTGCTTTCTAATCACTTTAGTTTTCTATCACTGCTTTCTATCACTTCAGCTAATTTAAGTAATTCTTTCTTTTTTTTTTTTTGAGATGGAGTCTGACTCTGTCGCCCAGGCTGGAGTGCAGTGGCATGATCTAGGCTCACTGGAACCTCTGCCTACTGAATTCAAGCATTCTCCTGCCTCAGCCTCCCAAATACCTGGGATTAGAGGCATATGCCACCACACCTGGCTAATTTTTGTATTTTTAGTAGAGATAGGGTTTTGCCAGTTGGCCAGGCTGGTCTTGAACCCCTGACCTCAGGTGATCCACCTGCCTCAGGCTCCCAAAGTGCTAGGATTACAGATCATGAGCTGTTATGCCCAGCCTAATTTTCCCTTTCAGATGCTATTAGATCAGGGGTAGTAGTTACTTCAGTCATATACCCTCTGTGAAATAATTGTGTCAGAAAGGCAAGAATTTACAAAATACTCTAGACAGCAGAATGAGAACCCAAATTTTTAGATAAAAGTCTTGTCAGCACTAGTAGTTTGCTTCTCCTGTCAGTTTACAGGTACACTTATTTGACTTCTTGAACCAGAGTTGGCCGAACTGAACCAAGGATCTCTGTTGTGAAATGGAAGTATTAAGACTCAGGTTTGGCCAGGCACGGTGGCTCACGCCTATAATCCCAGCATTCTGGAAGGCCGAGGCGGGTGGATCACGAGGTCAAGAGATCGAGACCATCCTGGTCAACAAGGTGAAACCTTGTCTCTACTAAAAATACAAAAATTAGCTGGGCATGGTGGTACATGCCTGTAGTCCCAGCTACTCAGGAGGCTGAGGCAGGAGAATTGCTTGAACCCAGGAGGCGGAGGTTGCCATGAGCCGAGATTATGCCATTGCACTCCAGCTGGGTAACAACAGCGAAACTCCGTCTCAAAAAAAAAAAAAAGACTCAGGCTCAGCACAGTGCCTCACACCTGTAGTCCCAGCACTTTGGGAGGCCAAAGTGGGAAGATTGCTTGAGCCCAGGAGTTTGAGGTCAGCCTGGGCAACATAGCGAAACCATTATCTCTACTAAAAATGCAAAAAAATTAGCTGGACATGATGGTGCATGCCTGTAATCCCAGCTATTCAGGAGGCTGAGGCAGGAAAACCGCTTGAACCCAGGAGGTTGTGGTGAGCCGACATCATGCCACTGCAGCCCAGCCTGAGCAACAGAGTGAAACCCTGTCTCAACAAAAAAGAGAGCAAGAGAGACAAGGTTTCCCCTGTTGTGCACTACCACACCCAGCTAACTTTGTATTTTTAGTAGAGACAAGATTTCTCCATGTTGGCCAGGCTGGTCTCGAACTCCTGACCGCGGGCGAGCCACCCACCTCAGTCTCCCAAAGTGCTGGGATTACAGATGTGAGCCACCATGCCCAGCTTCTTGTTATTCTTTTTCATTGTTGTTGTTTGAGACAGTTTTGCTCTTGTTGCCCAGGCTGGAGTGCAATGGCGTGATCTCAGCTCACCACAACCTCCACCTCCTGGGTTCAAGCTATTCTGCCTCAGCCTCCTGAGTAGCTGCATTACAGGCATGCCCCACCATGCCCAGCTAATTTTTGTATTTTTAGTAGAGACAGGGCTTCTCCGTGTTGGTCACGCTGGTCTCAAACTCCAAACCTCAGGTGATCCACCGGCCTCAGCCTCCCAAAGTGTTAGGATTACAGGTGTGAGCCACCGCACCTGGCCTTGTCATTCTTAAGAAAGAAGTTTACAGGATTTTTGTCCAATTTTTACCTTCTTTTTTAACCAGATTTTGATTTCTTAAATCTCTTCAGAATCTTGTATTTCTGTCTTTCCTTTTCTGTTTTTCTCTAGTCTCTTTAGGAACTTTTCATCCGTAAAAGGGATTTATTATAAATCATAGGAATAAATTATAAATCCTCAATGTTATAAGCATAGGAGATTTATAACTTGCTCTCATTCTCTGCTAAATATTTGGGGAAAATAAGGAAATTAAAGACCAGAATTTAGAAAGAGGTTCTTCAGCCACTTTACTTGCACCTAGAATGGGGTAACCATTTGCATATAATGCATGTGTACTTACCACTAGGACATGAGGTCACATAACCCATTCCTTTAAACTGAAATTGCTACTCCCCACAAGCCTTGACAAGGAGAGCATATATTTCCTTTTCTTTTTTTTAATTTGAGACGGAGTCTTGCTTTGTCACCCAGGCTGGAGTGCAGTGGCACAATATTGGCTAACTGTAACCTCCCCACTCCTGTGTTCAAGCAATTCTCTGCCTCGGCTTCCCGAGTAGCTGGGATTACAGGCGAACACCACCACACCCAGCTAATTTTTTTTGTAATTTTAGTAGAGATGGGGTTTTACCATCTTGGCCAGGCTGATCTCGAACTCCTGACCTCAGGTGATCCACTTGCCTTGACCTCACAAAGTGCTAGGATTACTAGCGTGAGCCACAGCACCTGGCATGAAGAGCATATATTTTCTATCTTGGTATTGAATCAGCATGTTTTCAGGTTCACATTAATTTTGACATTTAGGGGATGCTGCTGACATAGGAAAGTCTCATACTCCTATAAAGTTATTTTGCCATTACTATAGATTAAGTTGTAAAACAAGGGTAGAGCCATCGGTAGATTAAGATCAATTTAGACAAGAAGAATCTATAAATTTGATGTGTAGCAAACTCTGACATACTTTGGTTTATTTTGAAGTCTGGCCTATATTTCATCACTTTTTATTTTACAGGTAAATCATATTTTCAATAAAAGTATTTTTCTAAAAAATCTGCTATTTGCTTCACAGATTTTAAATCTTCTAACAGACAAAGAAGTAAATATTGTTTTGCCAACACAGTCCATTGTTCCAAGAACCTTTGTGCTTAAACCAGGAATGGTTCTGTTTTTGGGTGCTATAGGCCGCATAGATTTCTTGCAGGCAAGTAAAGTCCGTACCATTAAAAAATGATTTTTTAAATATTGAGATTCACTTTATGGAAGCAGATACATGAACAAGACTGGCAAAATGTTGATAACTAAGCTATGATTGTAGAGAGTTTAATTTGTTTTTATGTTTAAAAATTTCTGTGATAAAAACTTGGGGATGGCTGGGGATCGTGGTCACACCAGTAATTGCAGCACTGTGGGAGGCTGAGGCAGGTGGATCACTTAAGGCCAGGAGTTCAAGATCAACCTGGTTAACATGGTGAAACCCTATCTCTACTAAAAATACAAAAATTAGCCAGGCTGTAATCCCAGCTACTTGAGAGGCTGAGGCAGGAAGATCATTTGAACCTGGGAGGTGGAAACTGTAGTGAGCACAAATCGCACCTCTGCACTCCAGCTTGGGTAACAGAGCAAGACTCCAGTTCCAAAAGGCGGGGGGGGGCACAGTGGTTCAAGCCTGTAATCCCAGCACTTTAGGAGGCCGAGGCGGCTGGATCACAAGGTCAAGAGATCGAGACCATCCTGGTCAACATGGTGAAACCCCGTCTCTACTAAAAATACAAAAAATTAACTGGGCATGGTGGCGCGTGCCTGTAATCTCAGCTACTCGGGAGGCTGAGGCAGGAGAATTGCCTGAACCCAGGAGGTGGAGATTGTGGTGAGCCGAGATCGCACCATTGCACCAGCCTGGGTAACGAGAGCGAAACTACGTCCCAAAAAGAAAAAAAAAAGCGGGGAAAAGAAATGCCCTGTTCTTCCATGCCCCAACAAAAGTGCTAAGTCTTAAAAACCATGTTTTCAATTGAGTACCCCACACAGTTTGCCATTATCCCTATCATATGGTTTTATTTCACATGGGAATCAAAGTCAAACATTTAGGTACAGAGTTATATGCATTAAATTAATTCCACACTTTGTATCCCATGATATGTATGTTTTTATACATATACTATTTTCTTTGGCATTCATTTACATTAGCATCTAAGGATTTTGGAGTATCTATAAAATTGCTCTCCATTTTGCTAAAGTGAAGAGAAAAAAAATGAAACGTAGATATTTTCAACAACACAATACAACTTACAGGCTGTTACTATAGCACATTTCTTGGGTTTTGTGTTCATACTTTGTTAGAAATTTTGCCTTACATACTTAGAACCCTTATATATTTCATTTTGGGGGGTTGTTGGTTTTTTGTTTTAGGGGTTTTCTTTTTTTTTTTTTTTTTTTGGAGACAGGGTCTCACTTTTTTTGCCCATGCTGGAGTGCAGTGGTGTATTCACAGCTCACTGTAGCCTCAACCTCCTGGGCTCAAGTGATCCTCCCACCTCAGCCCTGCAAGTACCTGGGACTATAGACACGCATCACCACACCCAGCTAATTTTTGTATTTTTTATAGAGACAGGGTTTTGCCATGTTGCCCAGGCTGGTCTCAAACTCGAGCTCAAGGGATTCACCCAACTTGGCCTTCCAAAGGGATTAGAGGCATCAGCCACCACACCTTATATATTTCATTAGAAATAGAAATATATTTCTAATGAAATATATAAGGTGTGGTGGCTGATGCCTCTAATCGAAACCTTATGTATTTCATTAGAGCCCATAAAATGTTAGTATTTGAAACCCGACTTTACACAGAAACAATTGAAGCAGACAATATTTCCTTTTTATATTTAATAATAGACATGTTTTTCAAAAATAGTATTGAGTCTGTCAAAGAAGTCATAGTTTCACATTAATTGCTAAAATGCACTTCTTTAGTATTGTGTCTCTGTTCTTAGTATAATTTGATTTACAGCTACTGCCATACCAGTACTTATAAAGGGAGCCTGATTGGGTTTTTGTTTTTTTGTTTTTTTGATAATTTATTGTACCTTGTAATATGCAGGTTTTCCTAGTTTCTCACCAGGTAAAATAGCTTCCTTCTTTCTTAGGGAAATCAGTCAGCTTGGTTTACAGTCGTGGCTTCCAACTTCCTCCCTGTGCATATCACCTCCTTGGACAGGGCAGATGCTCTGTATGAGAAGCATGCGGGTCATACGTTACTCCAGGTAAGGCAGCACGCCCTATAATTCCATGGTTATGGTTAGTACACACTGGGATGGTCCCATAGCTCTGTTAAGAAAGCCTTTGTTGGCTAGAACTGTTATATAATAACTTGAGCTAACTTTCTCCTCACCTTATTCTCTTTGAGAATTCTGGCTATAAAGCAAAATTGCTCTTATAGACTGATCCTAGACTGGCCACACAGCTGTTTTTTCTCTAGACTACACTGTCCAACTTGGGAGCCATTAGCCACATGTGGCTATATAAATTTAAATATATTAGTTACAATTAAAATTTGCTGAAGTTAGGCCAGGCACGGAGGCTTACGCCTATAATCCCAGCACTTTCGGAGGCCAAGGCAGGTGGATCACAAGGTCAGGAGTTCAAGGCCAGCCTGGCCAAAATGGTGAAACCCTGTCTCTACTAAAAATACAGAAGTTAGCTGGGTGTGGTGGCAGACACCTGTAATCCCAGCTATTCAGGAGGCTGAGGCAGATACTTGCAACCCAGGAGGCAGAGGTTGCAGTGAGCCAAGATTGTGCCACTGCACTCCAACCTGGGTGACAGAGCAAGATTTCGTCTCAAAAAAAAAAAAATTTGCTCAAGTTAGCCAAGTATGGTGGCATGCACCTGTAGTCCCAGCTCCTCAGGAGGTTGAGGCAAGAGGATCACTTGAGCCCAGGAGTATAAAGCTGTGTTGAACCATGATTATGCCGCTGCACTGTAGCCTGGGTGACAGAGTGAAGCCCTGTCTCTTAAAAAGAATAAAAGTAAAATTTAAAATATGGTTGCTTAGTGGCACCAGACACATTTTGAGTGCCTAGTACTGATGTTGTTGCAGAAAGTTGTATTACAGGCTCATCACTAACACACACACATACACCCATACCCATACTTTGGACAGTTAAGCTACAGTTCCCTGAACTCATCATCCTTTTTCCAGTTTTTGTCTGTACCTATGGTGACCGAGAATACCTTTCCACTGAATAACTTTGACTCATTTCTCAAAATACTGCTCATATATTGCTTTGTTTTTATTGTTGCTGTAGTTCATGTGTGTGTGTGTGTGTATATATATATATATATATATATATATATATATAGCTTCTTTACTAATGTTTTCCTTGACCAAACACATTCATTACTCCTTCCTTCACAGCCATAGTACTTATAGACGCCTCACAGTACATTTCTGACCTTGTATTTGCTTACATATTATTTGCCCCTTTGATCTCCTTGGGGGCAGGAACTGTACTGCAAAATCTTTGTGTCCTTAATGCTAAACACAGGAGAGATTTGCTAATGAATATGAATAAATTATCTAGTCACGGCCAGGCACAGTGGCTCACACCTATAATCCCAGCACTTGGGAAGGCCGAGGCAGGCAGATCACCTGAGGTCAGGAGTTCAAGACCAGCCTGGCTAACACAGTGAAACCCCATTTCTACTAAAAATACAAAAAATTAGCCTGGTGTCATGGCGCACACCTATAATCCCAGTTACTCGGGAGGCTGAGGCAGGAGAATCGCTTGAACCCAGGAGGTACAGGTTGCAGTGAGCCGAGATCGCACCATTGCACTCCGGCTTGGGCAACAAGAGCGAAACTTCATCTCAAAAAATATGTATATATAAATATATCCTCATTGTTAATGATGATCCTGGATGGGGAGTGGGGAGAAAACAATAAATATATCCAGATATTTCTAATTCATGGAAACATCTGTAAACGTAGAAGCTAAATCTTACCCATTTCACATGGACCCTTAACCCATTAAGACCAGGCATTAATCTTCATGGTCACACTTATAAGAACTAAGGTACTTGGAAGGACCGTGCTTTCATTGCCCAACATTAATCTATGTGAAGCCCTGTGGAGGACTCTAAAAACCGTATCAATGAAGCACAGTTCTGTTGAGGCTGCCGACAGGTACTTGCCCACTGTGGCCCAGGGCCCTGAGATTTGTAGGCTTCATCCCACCACAGAGTTCCCTTGCTTTTCATTTGACCCCAGAAGTGATTGCTAGTTCTTTTCAACAGTTGAATATTTGAAAGGATTTTATTCTTGATCCCTGTACAGAATTACCTTATCAGTGATTCACTTAATGTTAGGGTTCCAAGAAATTTAATTTTAACTTCTAAATACCTTTATTTCATTGGAAGGTTCCAATGGGTGGAAAAGAACGAATGGCAGGGTTTCCTCCTCTTATTGCTGAAGACATTACATTAAAAGGAGGACTGGGGGAATCTGAAGCAGTGGCTGACATCAAGTTTTCCTCTGCAGGTAATTTGATGCCAAGCACTTTTTAAAAACTGAATAAAGCAGCCTTACTGACTATTTTTTATAGAAAATTGCCTTAACTGATGAAAACTGATTAAGATATACCTACTAGTTTATTCATAAAATACAGCCTATTCTGAAAATAAATTTGTACTTTTCACAAACGTATTGTATGCTTTCATTAAAGTAAGGTGTGCCCACCTGTGCCCCCAGCTTCTCAGGAAGCTGAGGCAGGAGGATTGCTTGAATCCAGGAACTTGACCTCAGCCTGGATAACATAGCAAGACACAGTTTCTTAAAAAATAAGAATAAAATAATAAGAGAGTGACAGCCTTTTCTGGTGTTCCATTTTCAGCTTTGGTTTGGTATTTTTAATAAGATGATTGCTAACAGCCTTTTGTGTTGTGTCACATGCCTGCATAGGTTGGGTTGCAGTAACACCTAACGTTAAGGACAGACTGCATCTCCGAGCCTATACACCTGAAGGAACAATTTTAACCGTCCGGCCTCCTCTCTTGCCATATATCGTTAATGTCAAAGGAAAGCGCATCAAGAAAAGTGTGGCCTATAAAACCAAGAAGCCTCCTTCCCTTGTGTACAACCTGCAGAAGAAGAAAGGACAGAGAGCTGTATAAGACTGACCTTGTTCACTCCAGGTATTAACTATATTGAACATAACAATAGACATTGAAATTGTATTAAACATAAAGAAAACTTCCACTGTCATCCTTTTTTTCGAGACAGGGTCTTGCTCTGTTGCCCAGGCTGAAGTACAGTAGTGCGATCTCGGTTTACTGCAGCCCCCACCTCCTGGTTCAAGTGATTCTCATGCCTCAGCCTCCTGAGTAGCTGGGATTACAAGTATATGGCACTATGCCTGGCTAATTTTTGTATTTTTAATAGAGACAAGGTCTTGCCATGTTGGCCAGGCTGGTCTTGAATTCCTGGCCTCGAACTCCTGGCCTCAAGTGATCACCCACATCAGGCTCCCAAAGTCCTGAGATTACAGATGTGAGCCACCATGCCCCACGTTACTACTGTTTTTTATCTTGAGACCAGATATCATTTCTTTTTTTGAGATGGAGTCTCGCTGTCACTGGGGCTGGAGTATAATGGCATGATCTTGGCTCACTGCAACCTCCGCTTTCTGGGTTCAAGCAGTTCTTTGCCTCAGCCTCCCAAGTAGCTAGGATTACAGGTACCCACCACCATGCCTGGCCAATTTTTGTATTTTTGGTAGAGATGGGTTTCACCATCTCATCATTACAGATATGAGCTACCACACCCAGCTATTTTAAAAAATATAATAGAGATGGGGTCTCACTATGTTGCCCAGGCTGGTCTTGAACTCCTGACCTCATGATGTACCAGCCTTTGCCTCCCAAAGTGCTGGGATTACAGGCATGAGCCACCACGCCTAGCCCAGGATGTCATTTCTCTTTGGAGTTAGCAGTCAGTATGTGAAAAAATGGCAGGAAAATAATTTCTCCAAAATTCGTTGGCTTAAATAAGATAGAAGTGAGTAGGTGGCTCTGCTCCAAGGATCCAGCTGGTAGAACATTCCATGGCCATCTGTAGGTCTACGGTGTTTGCCCAAGTTGTCATTCTTTCCCAACAAGGATGAAAAGGGGGAAGGCAGGGAGAGCAAGCACCTTCTCCATTTAAAACAAGGGAGGAAAAACTGGATGTTGCACACATCAGTTTAAATAGTCCATAGGTCAAGTCATGTGGCCACACTCACCCATACGTAGGCTGGGAAATGTAGGAGGAAATGGGGACCATTTGGGGTTTTTATTAAGGAAAAATGGGAAGAATGGATACTAGAGAACAAGTAGAAATTTACTTTACAAAATTTGGCAATGCCTGAAAATCTTAAAAAAGGATTCAAGGCCAGATGTAGTGACTCACACCTATAATTCCAGCACTATTGGAGGCCAAGGCAGGAGGATTGCTTGAAGCCAGGAGTTCAAGACCAGCCTGGGCAACATAGTGAGACCCCCATCTCTTATTATATTTTTTTAAATAGCTGGGTGCGGTGTCTCACGCCTGTAATCCCAGCACTTTGGGAGACTGAGGCAGGCAGATCCCCTGAGGTCGGTAGTTTCGAGATCAGCCTGACCAACATGGAGAAACCCCATCTTTACCAAAAATACAAAATTAGCCAGGTGTGGTGGCACATACCTGTAATCCTAGCTACTCAGGAGACTGAGGCAAGAGAATGGCTTGAACTTGGGAGGCGGAGGTGTCAGTGAGCTGAGATCATGCCATCGTACTCCAGCCAGGGCGACAAGACCAAAATTCCATCTCAAATATAAATAAGAATAAGAATAGTAAAATGAATTATAGGCCAGGTGCAGTGGCTCACACCTGTAATCCCAGGACTCTGGGAGGCCAAGGCAGGTGAAATCACCTGAGGTCAGGAGTTCAAGACCAACCTGAACAACATGGTGAAACCCTGTCTCTGCTAAAACTACAAAAATTAGCTGGTCATGGTGGTGGATGCCTATAATCCCAGCTACCCAGGAAACTGAGGCAGGAGAATTGCATGAACCAGGGAAGTGGAGGTTGCAGTGAGCTGAGATAAAACCACCACACTCCAACCTGGGCGGCAGAACTCCATCTCAAAAAATAAATAGTCTGGGCACAGTGGCTCATACCTATAATCCCAGCACTTTGGGAGGCTGAGGCAGGTGGATCACCTGAGGTCAGGAATTTGAGACCAGCCTGGCCAGCATAGTGAAACCCCATCTCTACTAAATATACAAAAATTAGCTGGGCGTGGTGGCAGGCACCTGTGTAATCCCAGCTACTTGGGAAGCTGAGGCAGGAGAATCATTTGAGCCCAGGAGGCGGAGGTTCCAGTGAGCAGAGTCTTCCCCATTGCACTCCAGCATGGGCAACAAGAGCGAAATTCCATCTCAAAATAAAGATTTTTAAAAAGCTGTATCTTTCTAGCAAGTGAGGTCTATTCTGCAACTGAGAGAGCACTTTAACCATTGCATGTACATTTTGTCTTTATATGACTGAATAACATTACATCGATCAGAAGTCTTTACTGGCCAGGCGCGATGGCTCATGCCTGTAATCCCAACGCTTCGGGATGCCAAGGAAGGAGGATCGCTTGAGCTCAGGAGTTCAAGACCAGACTGGGTAACACAGCAAGACCTATCTACTAAAAACCAAAAATATTAGCCAGGAATGGTGCTACACACCTGTAGTCTCAGCTACTGGGGGGGCTGAGTCTGGAGGATCACTTGAGCCCAGGAGATAGAGGCTGCAGTGAGCTGTGATTACACTACTGCACTCCAGCCTGGGCAACAGAGCGAGACCCTGTCTAAAAAAAGGAAAAAAGAAAGTCTACACCTTTTGTTATTCCTAGCTGAGTCAGTAGTACTACAGCTGTGTGTCATGAAGAACTTGCAAGTCAAGTCCCAGATCCTAATGTTGAAATAAATGCTGCTGAGATAAGCTAGGCTGAAATGCAGTTTAGAGCCATGAAATTCCTAAGAGAGAGGGCCCATGTTCTCTCCTAGCATTTGGGAGCCCCCCTGTATTCCACACTCTCCTGCCTTCTCCCACTCCTTACCCCTCTTCTAAATCCTCTTAGACTAAATATAATGGAGAATTTTTTTAAGATGCAACTTGTAATGTTGTAGACCTTTTATAGTGTTTCAAAGTGAGTACTATTGGTAACTTGGGGAAAGTGGTTCTTTATGTATAAAACTGCATTTGAGCCAGGCACGGTGGCTCATGCCTGTAATCCCAGCACTTTGGGAGGCCAAGGCAGGCGGATCACCTGAGGTCAGGAGTTCGAGACCACCCTGGCCAACATGGTAAAACCCATCTTTATTAAAAATATAAAAATCAGCCAGGCATGGTGGTGGTTGCCTGTAATCCCAGCTACTCTGGAGACTGGGGCAGGAGAATCGCTTGAACCTGGGAGGCAGCAGTTGCAGTGTGCCGAGATAGCACCACTGCACTGCAACCTGGGCAACAGAGCAAGCCTCCATCCAAAAAAAAAAAAAAAAACCTGCATTTCAGTATTTCTGTTATCTCTCATCCCAGACACTAAATGTAGTAGGAATTCCCTCTGCCGTCAGTCCTGGTGACAACTGGAAAGTGCCCCAACATTTCCGTATTACCTCTAGAGGGCGGCAGCTTCCCAAGTGGAGAAAATTGGCAGTTGATTTCTAGTTTTTTATTTTGGAGGGAATGAAATACCATTAATTTTATAAGTTAAAATTGTGGTCATTATATTTCTACCTATGGTTGAACACAGGAGTATTTCAATACAAAAATTAGCCAGGCATGGTGGCAGGCACCTATAGTCCCAGCTACTCAGGAGACTGAGGCAGGAGGATCACTTGAACCCTGGAGGCGGAGGTTGCAGTAAGCCAAAATCATGCCATTGCACTCCAGCCTGGGCAACAGAGTGAGACTCCATCTCAAAAAAAAAAAAAAGAAAAGAAGGGCCGGGTGCAGTGGCTCAAGCCTGTAATCCCAGCACTTTGGGAGGCCGAGGCTGGTGGATCACGAGGTCAAAAGATCGAGACCATCCTGGTCAACATGGTGAAACCCCGTCTCTACTAAAAATACAAAAAACTAGCTGGGCATGGTGGCGCATGCCTGTAATCCCAGCTACTCAGGAGTCTGAGGCAGGAGAATTGCCTGAACCCAGGAGGCGGAGGTTGCTGTGAGCCGAGATTGCGCCATTGCACTCCAGCCTGGGTAACAAGAGCGAAATTTCATCTCAAAAACAAAGGAAAAGAAAAGAAAATGTATTTCAAGCCAGGCTCAGTGGCTCATGCCTATAATCCCAGCACTTTGGGAGGCTGAGGCGGGTGGATCGCCTGAGGTCAGGAGTTCGAGACCAGCCTGGCCAACATTGTGAAACCCCATCTCTACCAAAAATACAAAAAATTGGCTGGATGTGGTGGTGTGCGCCTGTAATTTCAACTACTAGGGAGATTGAGGCAGGAGAATCACTTATACCTGGGAAGTGGAGATTGCAGTGAGCCAAGAGTGTGCCATTGCACTCCAGCCTGGACAACAAGAGCAAAACTCCATCTCAAAAAAGAAAAAATTTCAGAAAACAGGGCTCACACCTGTAATCCCAACACTTTGGGAGGCCAAGGCAGGAGGATCCCTTGAAGACCAGCCCTGACAACATAGTTAAGACCTGTGTCTACAAAAATGTTTTTTAATTTTAGCTGGGTATGATGGCACACACCTGTAGTCTCAGCTATTCAGGAGGCTGAGGTGAGAAGATCCCTTGAGCCTGGGAGGTTAAGGCTGCAGTAAGCCATGATTCCAACACTGCACTCCAGCCTGGGCAACAGAGCAAGACTCCATCTCCAAAAAAAAAAAAAAAAGGCAGGAAAGAAAGCCAGCAAAGGGTGAGAAAGATGCTCTATGCCTAGAATTGGTTGAGGACTTCTACTGGGATCTGGTATTAATTTGTTCCATAGTATACCTCTAATCTAATGCAGCTTAGGATCGCTACTAGGATCAAGTGCTTCCTTGTAGATTTTGCTTTAAGAAAGTTCCATTACTATATTGGTCTCTGAGATGTAGTCACTTTACACACACAGTTGTGCATTGCTCAGCAACAGGGATGTATTCTAAGAAATGCATCGTTAGGCAATTTCATCTTTGTGCAAACATAAAGTGTACTTACACAAACCTAGATGGTATAGCCTACTCCACACCTAGGCTGTATGGTATAGCCTATGGCTCCTAGGCTATAAACCTGTACAACATGTTGCTGTACTGAATCCTATAGGCAATTGTAACACAAATCATTAGGGGATAGGTATTTTCCAACTCCATTATAATTTTACCAGACTATGGTTGTATATGTGGCCCCTTGCTGACCAAGAAGTCATTATGTGGTACATGACTGTACTTCTTTATCCATTAATCTGAATATAGGGACATCTCTTGAATTAGTAGTCACTTACACTGTGACAGGCTGCAGGAATTAGTGGGCTCTTCTGGCCAGGAACAGAGGAGATGATGGCAAAGTACCAGGACAGCCTCCTCACTTCCACAAATCAGAGGTGGTTAGGGGTGGCTAGAAAACAATGAAGCAGTGGCCGGGCGCAGTTGCTTACTGCACTTTGGGAGGCTGAGGGGGTTAGATCACAAAGTCAGGAGATCGAGACCATCCTGGCTAACACTGTGAAACCCCATCTCTACTAAAAATACAAAAAATTAGCCAGGTGTGGTGGTGCGTGCCTGTAGTCCCAACTACTTGGGAGGCTGAGGCATGAGAATCACTTGAACCTGGGAGGTAGAGGCTTCAATGAGCAGAGATCACACCACTGCACTCCAGCCTGGGCCACAGAGCAAGACTCCATCTCAAAAAAAAAAGAAAAGAAAACAATGAAGCAAGTTTATTCTAGATTGTTTACCTGGCTCTGCAGCCCAGTGTTGAGCATGTCATCTCTTTTGTATTCATGACTCCCAAAAGAAGTCAAGTAAGTTCCACCAAAGTACTTTTTGACTCTTTTGTGATGTTAGGTTCAAAGTTTTATTTTAAATAGTTACACTGGCTGGGCACGGTGGCTCACGCCTGTAATCCCAGCACTTTGGGAGGCCAAGGTGGGCGGATCACAAGGTCAAGAGATGGAGACCATCCAGGCCAACATGGTGAAACCCCATCTCTACTAAAAAATACAAAAATTAGTTGCATGTGGTAGCACAGCCTGTAGTCCCAGCTACTCGGGAGGCTGAGGCAGGAGAATTGCTTGAACCCAGGAGGCGGAGGTTGCAGTGAGGCAGGATCACACCACTACACTCCAGCCTGGCGCCTGGTGACAGGGCGAGACTCCGTCTCAAAAAAAAAAAAAATTACACCTAATCTCTCGGCTTTCCCCCCCTTAATTAAACTAAAATAACAGCATCTTCGTCAAGGTTACTAAGACAAACTGAAGTTTTAATACATTTTGCATCTTTCATCACCATAAATGCCAAGCTGTGCCAATCACTGTCTTTACTGTATAATTCCCCTGAGTCTAGTATATGTTACTTGTGACACTCACTTCCCATAACAACCAAGGAGACGTGGAGTAGAGATGCAATCTTGTGTACCTGTGTCTCTACCATTCAGACCCTTCTTGCACAATGGAGATAGGCTGGTTTCCTGCAGCTGACTAACATGGAGGCGCTCCAGCTGTGTCAGCCATGACACAGTTGTTCTTGCTTCACTGAGTAAGCACCCAGAGCTCAAGCTGAGGCAGGCTGTTGCGTAGACGGGCTCAGATCATTTACCCTGGCTTCCCTCCCACTTGGCTCTGTGTCGTGGAGAATTAGAATCATTTCCATTCTTTCTCAGCTGTTCCATTTTCTCTTGGCTGCTTTCCTCCTCCCAAGGGGATTGTTTTCTCTCAACTGTCAAAAGAGTAATACTTAAACATTAAAAACAAGACTTCAGACTCATGTGAATCAAATAGATAACACATCTGCCTGCGCTGAATGTCTCTCTGTCATGTTATCTGCTCTTGTTAAGACCTTGTAGTGAAAGGGCAATGGTTCAAGATTACTATTTTTTTTTTTGGACCAAGTCTTACTCTGTCACCCAGCAGGCTGGAGTGCAGTGGCAGGATCTCAGCTCACTGCAACCTCGACCTCCTGGGTTCAAGCGATTCTTCTGCCTCAGCCTCCCGAGTAGCTGGGACTACAGTGCACACCACCACACCTGGCTAATTTTTTTAAAAAAATATTTTTAGTTGAGACAGGGTTTCATCATAGTGGCCAGGCTGGTCTCAAACTCCTGATCTCATGATCCACCCGCCTCAGCCTCCCAAAGTGCTGGAATTACAGGCATGAGCCACTGTGCCCGGCCAAGATTACTATTTTAACATCATATTGCAATGATGCCTCACCTTTTTCCTTCATGTCATGGAGTTTCATGATCCGAATACTCCTAAGTATATCTGGACTGTCCTCAAAACACCCACTGCTTGGATTCCCAGGTTCCTGTTTTCAAAACCTGCTTTTTGCCTCTAAAATAATTCTCAGAATTTACCTCCTGTGTAGTTAATCTAGTGGGAGAATTTATTCCGTCTTAACATTCTTATTGATCGGTGCTATAATAGGTATAATGCTTAATCACAGACACTGTCAGTACCTCTACCTGGTAGCTGTGGTAAATCAGAGAAAACCGAGGTCACACACAAAGAAAGCATATGCATTAGAGAACACATCATCATGTGTCAGGTGATACTGGAAGTGAAATATATGGATGTGATAGACTGCCAAGATTCTTGGCCGGGCACAGTGGCTCATGACTATAATCCCAGTATTTTGGGAGGCCACAGTGGGTGAATAAACTGAGGTCAGGAGTTCGAGACCTGCCTGACCAATTCAGAGAAACCCTGTCTCTACTAAAAATACAAAAATTAGCCAGGCATAGTGGAGGATGCCTGTAGTCCCAGCTACTCAGGAGGGTGAGGCAGGAGAATCGCTTGAACCCGGGAGGCAGAGGTTGCAGTGAGCCAAGATCTCACCATTGCACTCCAACCTGGGCAACAAGAGTAAAACTTTGTCTAAATAAAAGACTGCCAAGATCCTTTCTAATCTTTCAGTAAGCCCCTAGAAAAGAGTAGGCATGGCCAGGCTCATTGGCTCACGGTGATCCCAGCACTTTGGAAGGCTGAGGCTGGAGGATCACAAGGTCAAGAGTTTGAGACCAGCCTGGCCAACATAGTGAAACCCTGTCTCTACTAAAAATAAAAAAAGGCCAGGCGCAGTGGCTCATATCTGTAATCCCAGAACTTTGGGAGACCGAGGCAGGCAGATCACCTGAGGTCGGGAGTTCAACCAGCCTGACCAACATGGAGAAAGCCGGTGTGTACAAAAAATACAAAATTAGCTGGGCATGGTGGTGCATGCGTCCAACTACTCAGGAGGCTGAGGCAGGAGAGTTGTTTGAACCTGAGAGGTGGAGGTTGTGGTGAGCCGATATCACGCCATTTCACTCCAGCCTGGGCAACAAGAGTGAAACTCTGTCTCAAAAAAATAAAGTAAAATAAAAATACAATACAAAAAACATTAGCCAGGAGTGGTGGTGGGTGCCTGTAATCCTAGCTATTCGGGAGGCTGAGGCAGGAGAATCGCTTGAACCCTGAAGGCAGAGGTTACAGCGAGCTGTGATCACTCCACTGCACACCAGCCCGGGTAACAGTGCAAGACTCCATCTCAAAATAAAAATAAAAAAGAAAAGAAATAGCAGGCATTCAATGCATGAATCAGTAGAGTGAGAGGATTTTTTTGTTTGTTTGGTTTTTACCTTCCCCGGAAATTAGAAAAAGAGCAAACTTAAATTTGCTTAGTAGCGTTCACACTAAGCTCTTCTAGAGTTTCTTCCTTTCCTGTATAAAGCCAGTACCTCATGGTAGTTGTATTTCAGACTTCAGACTACTCCTAGTTGCTATAATCATATGATAGCCCACATATCTTTTTATTCCTTCATATTCATATAATAATAGTAATAGTAACTATCACTTATATACTACATAAAATGAGCCAGGCACTCTTTCAAGTGCTTTACATATATTAACTGAATACTTACAGCAATGCTTGCAGAAAATACTACTACCCACATTTACAGATGAGGAAACTGAGGCACAAGTAACTTACCCAGGATCTAACTAATAAGTGATAGAGCTGTGATTCAAACAAACCCTGGCATTCCGTCTCCAGAACTCATGTGGGGCTTCATTATTTTATTTTGAAACAGGGTCTCACTCTGTCACCTGGCCTGGAGTGCAGTGACACAGTCTTAGCTCACTGTGGCCTCTACCTTCTAGGCTCAAGTGGTCCTCCCACCTCAGCCTCCAGAGTAGCAGGGACCGCAGGCATGCACCATAACACTTAGCTAGTTTTTTAATTTTCTGTAGAAACAAGGTCTCTCCCTATTGTCCAGGCTGGTCTAAAACCCCTGTACTCAAGTAATCTTCCTGCCTCATCTTCCCAAAGTGCTAGGATTGCAGGTGTGAGCCACCATGCCCAGCCTGGGGTTTTTAATTATAAACAGACTTTGTTTTCTTTCGATGTACAGTTCTATCACATATATATATTTGTTTAATGACCACCATAATCACAATATAGAACAGCTCCAGCCAGGCACCTTGGCTCACGCCTGTAATCCCAGCATTTTGGCAAACTGAGGCAGATGGATCACAAGGTCAGGAGTTCAAGACCGACCTGGCCAAGATGGTGAAACCCCGTCTCTACTAAAAATGCAAAAATTAGCTGGGTGTGGTGGCAGGCACCTGTAATTCCAGCTACTAGGGAGGCTGAGGCAGGAGAATTGCTTGAACTTGGGTGGTGGAGGTTGCAGTGAGCTGAGATTGTACCACTGCACTCCAGCCTGGGTGACAGAGCGAGACTCCATCTCAAAAAAAAAAAAGAACAGTTCCATCAGTATCCATGTCTTTAACCACTGCACAATAATTCCTCTATATACTAAAACCCATCATCAAGTCTAAAGGTGAGACTGTTTCAACCTTAGGAAGGAAACCTGCTTTGAAGACCTTCAAAGGTAATACAATTCTCTTGAGAATTCTGGGCAACTACCAGTTAATCTCCTTATGGCTTCCTTTGAATTCACCATATACAACTCCTCCCTGAGCTTATGTCTCAGAGCAGGTGTGTGTGTGTGTGTGTGTGTGTGTGTGTAAAGTGCAGTGCCCTTGCTGTCTTCAGCACTGCTGCCCAAAACAGGTGTCCCCTGATTTCCATGCTCTCTCGCCACCACAGATGGCTTTTTTTTTTTTTTTTTGAGATGGAGTTTCGCTGTTGTTACCCAGACTGGAGTGCAGTGGCACAATCTTGGCTCACCACAACCTCCGCCTCCTGGGTTCAAGCAGTTCTCCTGCTTCAGCCTCCCGAGTAGCTGGGACCACAGGAGCACACCACCATGCCCAGCTAATTTTTGTATTTTTAGTAGAGACAGGCTTTCACCTTGTTGACCAGGAGGGTCTCGACCTCTTGACCTCGTGATCCACCCGCCTCGGACTCCCAAAGTGCTGGGATTACAGGCGTGAGCCACCGCGCCCGGCCTCAGATGGCTTTAAGTGGACTGTGCTTCCCTGGCTGGCTGGAAATCTTTCACATTGCTGGTGAGCTTGCCAAGTACCACGGACAGATCACAGCATGCATGGAGATCCAGACCCACGATTCTGATTGAGAAAACAGTAAATTAGATACACAGGAAATTTGGAAATCAAACATCCAAAAATTCCACTAAACTATCATAGAAAAGAGACTGTAATTTTTCATCCTAGTCCTACTCATGAGATTAGAACTGGTGATCCCTATATACCTGCAAATCAAAAAGCGTCAAAAACCAACCTGTTAATTTGGCCCTGAACTTGTTTAAATGTCCCGCCTTTCCTATGTGTGTAGCGCTAAGTCCAGTTTCCTGTTTCTTGCTACATCTGACTTCCACTAAACAGGAGTTTAGTGGGTTGCCCTAACTACTGGGTTGGCCAATTAAAAGCTTTCTATTATTGCAAGTTTTTCTCGGTATTTAGCATTTGACCTAAATAGATGTATCTTTTTTTCCCTGTCTTTGACTTTAAACTATGATGAGGCCAGACGCAGTGGCTTATGACTGTAATCCCAGCACTTTGGGAGGCCGAGGTGCGCAGATCACCTGAGGTCGGGAGTTTCAACAGAGAGAAACCCCATCTCTACTAATAATACAAAATTAGCCAGGCATGGTGGCACATGCCTGTAATCCCAGCTACTCGAGAGGCTGAGGCAGGAGAATCCCTTTAACCCAGGAGGCAGAGGTTGCTGTGAGCCAAGATAGTGCCATTGCCCTCCAGCCTGGGCAACAAGAGGAAATTCTGTCTTAAAAAAACTATGGTGAAATACTCCACAGGAAGGCAAATTAGAGAAAATGGGGCTGCTTTCCTTTAAAATACCAGATAAAAGATGTATTTTACTGAAACACTAGCTTTTTCATTAGAAAAATAAAGCTTTATGTAAAGCTAATTCTGAGAAATGTGTTAAAAATTTTCAGTATGGGAACTTGGACAAGAGACTGTTCAACAAAGGAGAACAATGTGTAACTGTCCCATTTACCCACTAACTCCCCCGTTGGGCAGGGAGCAAGTCACTTCTAGGTACAGTTGCTCATTTGTTCATTGAAAATGCTTCTTTTTTATTAACTAGGTTTGAGGACATGATTAGGTTTGTATCCATATCTATTGCTGAGTAACAAACCACCCTGAAACTTGGTGACTTGAACCAAGTGATTATCTGCTCTCATTCTTTAGTTTGGCTATTGAATCCAGGCTCCGCACAGTGGTACTTCTGCTCTATGGCAACATACATTTGCACACAGCATGCAGCCAGGCTGACCTCATCCACAGGAGTTTCAGCTGAGACGGGTGTAACGGCCGAGCAAGTGAGGCATTTTCCATTAATCACTATCTCTTCCTAGGGTCTCATACTCAAGTAAGCCAGTTTGAGCTTGTTCACAAGGTGACAGTGTTCACAAAAAGCCTGAGAGCTGGTAAAGCCTCCGGAGGCTGAAGCTCAAAGTCACACAATGCCATCTCTGCTGCATTTATTGGTCAAAGCAAGTCACAATGGCAGCACAGATTCAAACATGTACTGGAATTTGTGGCAATTTTAATCCATCATAAGCTTTCAGGGTTGATGACCCTGAGGAAAATACAGTATAATGTGCTATCTAATTGACCTATAGAAAGTGAATCTGTCTGGGTGAGGTGGCTCACGCCTGTAATCCCAGCACTTCTGGAGGCCAAGGTGGGCAGAACACGAGGTCAAGAGATCAAGACCATCGTGGCCAACAGGGTGAAACCGTCTCTACTAAAAATACAAAAATTGGCTGGGCGCGGTGGCTCACACCTATAATCCCTGCACTTTGGGAGGCCGAGGCAGGTGGATCACGAGGTCAAGAGATCAAGACCATCCTGGTCAACAAGGTGAAACCCCGCCTCTACCAAAAATACAAAAATAAGCTGGGCATGGTGGTGCGCGCCTGTAGTCCCAGCTACTCGGGAGACTGAGGCAGGAGAATTGCTTGAATTCAGAAGGCGGAGGTTGCAGTGAGCCGAGATCATGCCATTGCACTCCAGTCTGGGTAACAACAGCGAAACTCCATCTCAAAAAAATAAATAAATAAAAATAGGAGGCTGAGACAGGAGAATCGCTTGAACCCGGAGAGGCAGAGGTTGCAGTGAGCCAAGATTGTGCCACTGCATTTGAGCCTGGGGACAGAGCGGGACTCTGTCTCAAAAAAAAAAAAAAAGAAAATGAATCCAGGCCAGCGCAGTGGCTCACTCTTGTAATCCCAGCACTTTGGGAGGCTAAGGCGGGTGGATCACAAGGTCAGGAGTTCAAGACCAGCCTGGCCAACATGGTGAAACCCCATTTCTACTAAAAATACAAATTAACCAGGTGTGGTGGTACACGCCTGTAATCCCAGCTACTCAGGAGGCTGAAGCAGAAGAATTGCTTGAACCCTTGAGGCAGAGATTGCAGTGAGGCGAGATCACACTACTGCATTCCAGCCTGGATGACAAAGTGAGATTCTCTCAAAAAAGAAAAGAAATATTATCTTAATTTAAATTTATCTCAAAAGTCTGATACATAGAGCTGCTATATGACTGAGGAAAGAATGAGAGAGAGGTTTTTGGCTTTTAATCTCATAAATCCTTTAGAAATAGTTTGCTTTTACTTATGTGTACATATTACTTTGGTAACCAATTTCAATGAAAAAAAATCCATGCAGATTCAAGGTCTATCTGTCCCTCTAGCCCCAGTTCTTATACTAGAAGAAAGCTATCCTGGAAGTCCTCTACCTGGGAACTCTATAATGGGGAAGGTAATGAGAACACAGAAATGAAGGGCTTTCAAATCTCTAAATAGTATCCTACTGCTCTCCAAGAAGGAAAAATGGACAAGAGTTTGAGGCAGAGTCCAAGCTGAAGGTCCTGACGCCACACAAACTCCTTTCTTTTCCTGGCTCCGTGAGTAGGGAAAGTAATTTCAGAACCCTTTTAGTGTTGGCCATCTGCCAGCATTTCTCCATCTCTGTCCCTCCCCTCCCCACACCCTCTGGGCCCAGACTGAAAAGGGGAGGCAGGGAGCAAGGAGAACCATAGAGGAGGTCCCTTTGTTCGTCAGTCAGTCTTCAATTCCATGTTTTACTAGAATCTTATACTGGGGTATCTAGAAATTTGCTATTGTTGAAATACAAAAAGAAACTACTTGAACTGTCCCCACTAGTTAGTGTAAAAACTATAAAGATGAAAAAACATTGGGCAAAAAGGTGTAAAGTTAAAGTTTTTTTGGTTTTTTGGTTTTTTTTTTTCTTGAGATGGAGACTCACTCTGAAGCCCAGGCTGGAGTGCAGTGTTGTGATCTTGGCTCACTGCAACCTCTGCCTCCCAGGTTCAAGTGATTCTCCTGCCTTAGCCTCCAGAGTAGCTGGGATTACAGGTGCCCACCACCATGCCCAACTAATTTTTGTATTTTTAGTAGAGTGTTTTACCATATTGGCCAGGCTGGTCTCGAACTCCTGACCTCATGATCTACCAGCCTTGACGTCCAAAAGTGCTGGCATTATAGGCGTGAGCCACCGTGCCTGGCCTTTTTTTTTTTTTGAGATGCAGCCTCAATCTGTCACCCAGGCTGGAATGCAGTGGTGCAATCTCAGCTGACTGCAACCTCCACCTCTTGGGTTCAAGCGATTCTCCTGCCCCAGCCTCTGGAGTTTCACTATGTTGGCCAGCTGGTAAACTCCTGACCTCAAGTGATTTGCCCACCTCGGCCTCCCAAAGTGCTGGGATTAAAGGCATGAGCTACCACGCCCGGCCCAAAGATGATTTTTGAAAGCTTTATGAATTGATTTCATCATATATTTACAGAGTTATTCAGTTTGAAGAGGCCACTTACTCTAATGAAAGTTATCAAGTATTCTGGCAGGACCTGAAATCTGAGGATCTGCATAGGTCACAGGGAATATCCTGAGATTTTCCAGGTTCTGCTATAAGGCACATTTCCCACATATGTACGAGTGTCAGAGGCATGTGAATCAGAGCAACTCCATCTTAAATAGGAGCTGGGTAAAATGAGGCTGAAACCTACAGTGCTGCATTCCCGGATGGGTAAGGAATTCTACCTCACAGGATGAGAGAGGAAGTCAGCACAAACTACAGGTCATAAAGACCTTGCTGATAAAACAGGCTGCAGTAAAGGAGCCAGCCAAAACCCACCAAAACCCAAATGGCAGCGAGAGTGACCTCTGGTTGTCCTCACTGCTACACTCCCACCAGCGCCATGAGTTTACAAATGCCATGGCAACCTTCGGAAGTTATTCCATATGGTCTAAAAAGAGGAGGCATGGATAATTCACCCCTTGTTTAGCATGTCATCAAGAAATAACCATAAAAATAGGCAACCAGCCATCCTCGCCTCAGGGCTGCTCTGTCTATGGAGTAGCCATTCTTTTATTCCTTTACCTTCTTAATAAACTTGGCTTTCACTTTGCACTATGGACTTGCCCTGAATTCTTTCTTGTATGAGATCCAAGAACCCTCTCTTAGGGTCTGATCAGCACCCCTTTCCTGTAACATGAGTACAGCCCCGAAGAGTCTGTGCTCATACTAGAGTCTTCTGGTATCTCCAGAAAAGTCATTTCATCTGGAGTTCATTGACTTGAGGGACCAAGGCCCTGAAATCCCAACTTCATTCGAATGGGGTGGACTGATCTTGCACTGCCTGCTGTAGGCCACTGACCGACCAGAGAGAGACAGGAATCCAGCAAGCCTCAGTGCAGAATTTTTTTTAAAGGTAATCAAGTGTCAACTTTATTGTTTCTATATTAACACCTTTTTGTACTGAAAACTGTAAAAATAGCATAAACTTTGCTCTTATTGCAAGCCGGGCGCGGTGGTTCACGCCTATAATCCCAGCACTTTGGGAGGCCAAGGCGGGTGGATCACGAGGTCAAGAGATCGAGACCATCCTGGTCAACATGGTGAAACCCCATCTCTACTAAAAATATAAAAGTTAGCTGGGCATGGTGGTGCAGCCTGTAGTCCCAGCTATTCAGGAGGCTGAGGTAGGAGAATTGCTTGAACCCAGGAGGCGGAGGTTGCAGTGAGCCGAGATCGCACCACTGCACTCCAGGCTGGGTAACAAGAGCGAAACTCTGTCTCAAAATAAATAAATACACTAAAAGCTTAAACTCATGCCCTGGCACCAGTGAACCTTATGTAACTCAGTTTATCTTCCCTTCAAGCCATCTTGTGGTGGGGTGCAACAGCTCACACCTGTAAGTAATCTTAACACTGGGAGACCAAAGCAGGATTACTTTGAGGCCAGCTGTTTGAGACCAGCCTGGGCAACACAGTGAGACCTCATGTCTACCTTTTTAAAAGAAAACATCTTCCTCCAATTATGAATCAAAATTCACTAATTCCAGGCCTGCTACTGAAAAGGGATATGCAGCCGGGCATGGTGGCTCACGCCTGTAATCCCAGCACTTTGGGAGGCCAAGGCAGGCAGATCACGAGGTCAGATCGAGACCATCCTGGCCAACATAGTGAAACCCCATCTCTACTAAAATACAAAAATTAGCTAGGTGTAGTGGCACGCATCTGTAGTCCCAGCTACTCAGGAGGCTGAGGCAGGAGAATTGCTTGAACCCGGGAAGCGGAGGTTGCAGTGAGCCAAGATCACGCCACTGCACTTCAACCTGGCGCGTGCCTGGTAACAGCAAGACTCTGTCTCAAAAAAAAAAAAAAGGATATGCATATTAAAACTGTTAAGGGGACTTGTGGTTGGGAAGTAATTACTATTTAAAATCTTGTGTGACTTGTCCAATTTCTCACCCACCTCCCACCTCTCAGAAAGCAGTGTATGCTTTGGGTTACTACCCATACTGGATTGTTACCCCAAACAACATGCTGTGACTTCTCTACATGCAACGGGTCACCTGTGGGAAATAATCTTGAAAAGCCTATTAATATACTTGCAGTTCCAGCAACATAAATTTGGTTTTCTACGTTCTTGGATCAATAATAAATGAAGGCATCATGCTTTTTAAAACTTTATTTCAACATAACTATGCTTACAGAAATACACTCATATTGGTTAATAGAATGCAATTTAAGTTTAACTTATTCTACACAATTTGGACCAAAAACTTGGTACATGGTTTAAGATTTTAAAGAAGGATTTGCAATCTGGTTTATTTTTATCTATTACAAATGTATAAAAGATCTTCCATCAAATGCTGCTAAAGAAGGCAGCAAGAACCTTGAGAAATTTACCTTTGGTTTGTCTCAGAAAAATAACACGTATTGCACTGCATAAGTTTATAAAATTGGTGCAACAAAACATTGTTGTAATGTTTCAATGCCAGTTTAGAAAGTTCAATAACTAATGGATATGGAAGGGACAGGGAGGGAATCTATGTACACATGTGAAAATGTAAAAGCTATCTGATTTAGTTAATATTGCATGTAGATTGTAAATCTACACAAACCAAGATTCAGACAATTTCTTCAATCTGATTTAACACTATCTGTTCACTTCATCTGCTGAGGTCAACCAGGAAACTGGGAACACTAGCTGTAAGTTTTTCTGATTTATGCAAAAAAGAAAATTAACTTTCTTCCGCAGCTTTTCAGTTCAGAAGTGACAGTATACTACAGGCAAGATATTCCTTCCATTGTCAACATTCATAGGGTGACATGCAATGAGGTCTACTTGGGTTTTAATTTGTATCAGCTCTCATATGCCAAACAGTCTCCAAAGTTAATTAACACATGACTTTAGAAGTGACTCTAAAAAATAAACTGGCCCTTCTTAGAGGACTAGAGCAAAACATCCAGCCATAGTTATAAGCCTTATAAAAAAAAAAAAAAGCAGCCCCTTGTGAATTACACAATAAAAAAGTAGCCCCAGAATAAAAAGCAGCTCTGAAAAGAGGAAAAAAATATAACTTAAAGTATCTTGAAAACCAATGTGAATATAGGTTCAAAAGATAATTAAGAGATTCATTTTCATAAGTCTACCTAAGATTAAGGCTTATAATGTATTCTAGTATTTCAAGTTTATCACTAGTTACTAAACATCAATTTACAAATAACATGTTCATTTTTTGTTCTTTTAACCAAAGGGAAAATTCTAGCTTAAATTCTATCCAGTGTGGGGGAGGGGGACTAGAAAATAAAAAGATTCAAACAGTTCCATGCAAATATCACATTTTTCAGATGAAAGAACTTCCAACTAGACCAGAAGTTCATATTGCTAATGTACTTTTCACTGAAACAATTTTTAGTAAGTTCAAAAACACGGCATTAAGGTTCAGAACCTAATATAGGCCTGACAATCAAGTCCTTATTTTCTGGAAGAAGGCCTCAAGTCCAATCAATTTCCAGTAACAATGTTTTTACAAATCAATTTAATAATAAGGGGTTTTAATTTCCTTCATGTTTTTGTTTTTAGCATTCTAGTGTAGAATTTAGCTCAATTCCCCAGAAGGCAAATGGTTTTTCTTCTACAGTATGAAAGAATCCACAAAAAAAAACTTCCCCAAACAAATTCCTAATATCCAATCTGTGCTTAAGATGAATCTTTTTCTATACAATGTAAACGGTCACTTAGGTAAAATGTACCCATGAACATTAAAACTAGTCATTAGAAAGATTTAACTAGCTTTATAATTTAAGTTTTAAAACATAAATATTTGCAGCTTGATCTTCTGTTGACAGTGATTGTCAGAGCCTAGAATTCAACATTTACAATGTTCAATCATGCACACAAAACACACACCATTATCACACAACTTACTCCTCATGTCTTAAGAGAAGAATCTTCTGCTTCTTTAAATCTTTGGCCTCCCAGTCAATTCCATGTTCAAACAACTTTTAACTCAAACTTCACTCAGATTTTTAACAAGCTCTCCATCCATACACCATTAATGCTTTTCCTAATCTTTCCTCTTGTACTGCCAAAATCTGAAATCTGCCTCAAAGAAATCATCATATTTTTAAAAATGAAATACAAAGTGGTTATTTCAAAACAGAATATGGGGGGTCAGAATTCAAGATTCCCTACTGGGATCATATTTTGTTTTACTGCAATGAATAACTGCTATCAGTAAGAAAAATCCTATGATTCTTTCATACGCTTTGTCGATGGGCCAAAAAACCTACAAAAATGTTTTGGAGTACATGCCCTTTTTCATACAAAGTGCCCCCACAGGAACACCAGGATAGCTACAATTCATTTGAGGCCTCACCTGTATGTAGAAAGAGGCTATCACAGAGACAGCCAGGACACCCACTAGTTTGTGGAGATCCCTGAGAAAGTATGATTTTTTAAAATCTGGCCTGTACTTGTTTCACCAGCCTTTTTCACTGTATAGGAAAGTTGCAGCTGGTCTGCCAGCACTCACACTACCTCTCATATCCTAGGTTTGCCGCGTAATAGCTATGGCTTTGGAATCTTCCAAGTGATATTCTGTAAAACTTAAAGGAATAATTATGTCTCCTAATTCCAGGTTTGCAGTTTCCAAGTATCACTTACAGTTCTTTATTGTAAAGTAGCCATATGGACACCAACCATCTATGAGAAAAGGTTTTCCTCAAACATTTAACACTCTAAATTAGGAATGAGCTGTACCAAAACACATGAAGAAGAAAAAAAACTGATGGTTGGTATTTGAGATAAAAATTTGTTCGATATGGAACCTAGTGGTTTATTTATTGCAAAATCAAAACTGAGAACTGTGAATTCACTACATCCATTCAAAATAAATAAGTTATATGAAATAAAGATTCTGGCATAGATATAAGATGTAAAAATCAAAGTCAATGGATTGAACCTGCATGTTTCATTTGCTCACAAACTTGCACACACTACTATTCTGCAAAATAGACAACTGCAGCAAAGAAAAAGAAAACTGCCCTTTTGCAAACAAGTCTAAAAGCATCCCTCCAAAGAGGCCAAAATAAACATGCATATATATATACGTATAAAGTGTTACTGTTTAACACAAATGTTCTATCTAGGAAAAATTTAACTGCATAGGTAAAAAAACAAAAACAGAAACAAAAAAAATGTGCAACATCTTAAGCCATTAAAGCACCAAAATAAAAAACACACCAAAATCACTGTTTTCATGACAATTAACATACACAAATAAAAAATATTGATCAAAACTCAGGAATTCTATGCTTGGACTGATAGAATGTCTATTGCTGGGAGAATTTTTCTTCAATGTAAATGTCTTCTCATCTCTAAAAAAAAAAATCTTAAAGTGCTAACTTTATATAAAGCAGGCAAATTATTCAAGTAATTTGCTATTAAGCCAATTTTTTATAGATCTCAATAAAAAACTAAGAATAAACTAAAGTGAAACAGGAAGACAGACATGGAGAAAAAAATGACAAGTTGTAGCTGGACAAAGCAGTAAAATGCTGCTATACCATCTCAGCCTCATTTCAATTAGACACATAAGCTAACAGATTTAGGTATCTGCTGGTTTAGTAGATTTGCTAAATTTACACAACAATCAACAATCCTAAGCAAAAGAATGCCACTTAAAAATCAACATCAGAGACTAATTAAAGCAATCTTAAAAGGTTGTCTACTACTATAAATGAATATAAAATGTAATATACCTTACAAACTAAGAACTGAAACCTTGTTCAAAGTTTCATTACTCCTGCCCTTGAGCTGCTTCTTCAAGATAGTACACATTAACCAAATGGCGATTGAGGTGTTTGCTATAATCTTTTCCCTTTCTGAAAGAACGATCACAGAAAATACAAACAAAATCTCCCTTAGCCACTTTGACTGCTAAGGCTTCCTTTGCATTTTTTCTGCTAGATTCTTGTGAAACTGGTCGAGCCCCATGTAATCCAGAATCATCACTACCCTCTGACATGTTGTCACTTAGATCACTTCCTTCATGGCTGTGGATGCCTTCATCTTCATCAATTTCCTGAGACTCATTTACTGCCATGGTAGCAGGAGGTGATGGCGGTACAGTTTTAGACACTGCTTCACCACATTCTTCTACTGCTGAGGGGGGAAGCACTGGTGAAACTGGTTCTTCAACTGTTGAGTTTATAACAGGGAGATTCTCTCTTATGTTCTCATCAGTGTCCATTTCCATTTCACAAACCACAGCGTCAGTCTGATGTTTACCATCTGAAGTTTCACCCTCTGGCATATTCAAGCTTTGTCTAGAGGATGAAACATGGGTAGATTCCTCAATATTAGCAGCAAGACCAGGTAGGCTCTCACCTGCCTCTTCTGCTCCTACTGTCTGAAGAGGGGCTTCTTCATTTCCTTCACCTCTGATGAGTAATTTTTGGTCTCTTGACGCCTCTTCTTTTAAATTTTCCTTTGGCAGCAGTGGTGACGGTGGTGACAGATCTTCTGTGCTTATACTTTCCCTTAGAAGCCGGCTATCTTTAACAGGCATTAAGCCAACTTCAATAAGGACTTGCTCCTTCTGTGCCCTTTCACTCTGCATGTTAGACTTTTCCTTTTTAAGTTTTCGGAGAGGAGGCTTTTTGGAAATTGGCTCCATGTGAAGGGGAGGCTCTACGGGAGGAGAAGGCTCCTTCTGAACCACCCTGACGGGAGGAGACAGCTCCATCTGAACAGGTTCCTTCTGGACCACCTCTGTGGGAGGAGACAGCTCTATGTCAACAGGCTCCTTCTGTACTACCTCCATAGAAGGAGATAGTTTCATCTGAATAGGCTCCTGGACCACCTCCATGGGAGACAGCTCTATCTGAACAGGCTCCTTCTGAACCACCTCCATGGGAGCAGGCCCCATTTGGGCAACCTCCATCTGAGCAGTCTCCATGGGAGGAGGCAACTCCATGTGAGCAGGTACCATCTGAGCACCGACCACCTGAGCAGGCTCCAGAGGAGGTGGCAGCTCCTTCTGAGCAGGCCCCTCCTGAACCACCTCCATCTGAACAGGCTCAGCATGAGCAGGCTGTATCTGGGCACCCTCCATCTGAGCAGGCTCCATGGGACGTGGCAGCTCCACCTGAACAGTCCCCTTCTGAACTGCCTCTGTGGGAGCAGGCCCCATCTGGGCAGGCTCCATGTGAGGAGGGTCCATCTGGGCAGGCCCCTTCTCAACAGGTCCCTTCTGAGCAGGCTTGCTGCTTTTCTTACTTGATTTATTTTTCAGAGTTTTCTTCTTTGTACTTTTTTTGATGTAGGTATTTTGCTTTTTATTTTCCTCCACTTTGCTGTCACCCTTTGGCACTTCCTGACTATTATTTTTGGATTTGCTTTCTACCTTCCTTTTCTTTCTTGTTGAAGATTCCTCATCATTCACAGGATCACGTAAAGAATGGGTGTCAGCTTCCAACTTCCTTTTGCTTTTCTTAGTTTTAGAAAATTTTTCTGAATTGCTTCCAGTATGCACATCCATCTCTGTTACTGATTTTCGAGTTCTGGTAGTCACTTGGATCACTGACACATTAGAAGACTTTTTCTCTTTTGAGACATCTCTTTTCTCCGCTTTTATAGACTTTTCATTTTTCTTTCCAGCTACATCCCCTTTTATTTTTGTCTGTTCTGTTTCTGTTTTTTCATTGGTAATATTATCAGGCAAGTCAGCCTCTCGTTTTTTGGTTTTCTTTAGTTTCACTTTTGAGACATCCATTGTTTTATTAGGACAAGTAGGATGCTTAGATTTGAAGTGATACTGTAGATTACACTTCTTGGAAGCTGCATAGTCACATACAGGGCAATTGAACTGTCGTGGATTCACATGTAGCTCTACATGTTTTTTGAAGTTACTTCTATCTGCTGTTTTGTAGTCACAGTGTGGGCAATTAAGAGGTTTAGGCCCATTGTGAACCTGTCTTGCATGGCGAGTTACTTCATGTTGATTCGAGGCCACATAACTGCACTGATCACATTTAAATGGCTTCTCACCTGAAGGTAAATCAAAAGTATGAGAGAAGATACAGATTAAGAGAAATTCAACATTAAAATATAAGGAACTGTACATGTAAAATAATGACAGACTATTGAAAATGCTGTATCATGCACCTTACATTTACCATATTTATTTGTGTAACATTTCTCTATCCTTTGACATTGATTCTCAGAAGAAATCTCAGTCAACCACAAGCTTCAAAACAGTTCAAGTTAGAGTCCTCAAGCACTATTAAAGAACAGAGATTCTTTAAGAAATACACAACCATTGGCAAAGTTCAATTGGGCTCTGGATGTTAATTTGAAGGAAAATTATCTATTTAAAATTGTTTTGTATATTTAGTTAAAATAAATGCATAATGGAGTAGAAAATAAAATTCTGGGGCCAGGAGCAATGGCTGACGCCTATAATCCCAGCACTTTGGGAGGCCGAGGTGGGTGGATCACAAGGTCAAGAGATCGAGACCATCCTGGTGAACAAGGTGAAACCCCGTCTCTACTAAAAATACAAAAATTAGCTGGGCATGGTGGTACACGCCTGTAGTCCCAGCTACTCAGGAGGCTGAGGCAGGAGAATTGCTTGAACCCATGAAGCGGAGGTTGTGATGAGCTGAGATCACACCATTGCACTCCAGTCTGGGTAAAACAGCGAAACTCCACCTCAAAAAATAAAAATAAAATAAAATAAAATTCTGGCCAGGTGCAGTGGCTTATGGCTACAATCGTAATACTTTGGGAGGCCATGGCAGAAGGTTCGCTTGAGCCTAGAAGTTAGGGGAACAACCTGAACAAAATAAATAAAACAAAAATTAACTTTGGGAGGCCAAGGTGAGTGGATCCCTTGAGGCCAGGAGTTTGAGACCAGCCTGGCCAACACAGTGAAACCCCATCTCTACTAAAAACACAAAAAAAATTAGCTAGGCATGGTGCTGCACGCCTGTAATCCCACCTACTTGGAAGGCTGAGACACGAGAATTGCTTTAACTTAGGAGGCAGAGTTTGCAGTGAGCCAAGATCGTACCACTTCACTCCAACCTGGGCAGTCAGACTGTCTCAAAAAAAAAAAAATCAGCCAGGTATTGGGGAGTGCACCAGTTGTCCTAGCTACTCAGGAGGCCAAGGCAGGAGGACAGCTTAAGCCCAGGAATTTGAAGTAGCAGTGAGTTATGAATGTGCTACTGCACTCCAACCTGGGCAACAGATCAAGGTCCTACCTCAAAAATAAATCAAATAAAATTCCCAGCCAGGTACAGTGGCTAACAGCTATAATCCCAGCACTTTGGGAGGCCAAGGCAGGTGGATCACCTGAGGTCACGAATTCAAAACCAGCCTGGTGAACATGGCAAAATCCTGTCTCCAGTCAAAATACAAAAAATTAGCCAGGTATGGTGGCAGATGCCTGTAATCCCAGCTACTTGGGAGGCTGAGGCAGGAGAACTGCTTGAACTCGGGAGGCAGAGGTTACAGTGAGCCAAGATCATGCCACTGCACTACAGCCTGGGCAATGAGAGTGAAAATTCGTCTCAAACAAACAAACAAACAAACAAACAAACAAATAAATAAATAAATAACATACCCTCCCCACCCTAATTTTCTTGTGGCAAATCTTGAGAAAAACACTCTGGGCTATACTCCCAGATCCTAGGTAAAAGTTTTGAAATTCTGCTTTAGCCTGAGCAAAGGCTTTTTCTTGAAATTTAATCCTTCTGTCCATCATGGTAAGAACTGAGTAAATTTTCACTTAGCAAACTTTCTGTGCTAGCATCGCTATTTTAAAGCAAAAATATAGGAAAACTTTATTGATGTTTCCCCCACCTTTTATATAAAATGTATAAAGGAACTAGGTAATGAGAAGTGGCACACAAATAGATATGGTATGTAAAATAAGAAACATCATAATCACTGATACATACAGAACCAGAACCACCCCCACCCCCAAAATTAAAGGCACAAGAGTAATACATTCTACCTGAATACATACCCATCTAGATCACACTCTAGTAAATATTACCAAATGGTATCCATACCCCACTGGTCCAATGGAATGCATAGTAGAAAAATGGAAATTGACATTTATGAAAATTCATCTCAAACATTCTCAAATTCATTATCAAATCTTACTAAAATTTTTCATAAAGCAAAACTCAGACATTAGACAAAACCATGTAGATGTTAAACTTTACATGATTAGAAAATGCCTGGTAATAAAATAATCACCTTATCCAGGTAGTCAAATTGGATATTCAGCTGACTGGATAATTCTTCTCCATGTTGGTCTACGAACAGATTAATATGCAAGTTTCTACAACATGCTACATTACTCTATACTTGGTTCTATATTGTCCTCTCCAGTGAATGATTGAAATGGAGACAAACATTTTCTTAACATATGTGGACATAGAACATAGAAAGATAGGTAGCACAAGGCCTAAGAACTTGTTCTAGACAAAGCTAGACTATCTGGGAGATAAAACAATGGGCTCTGTCTGCAAGATGCTTACTCCGAGACTTTGAGCAAAGTACTGAAACCTCTCTAGAGTTCAATTTCTTAAAATATAAAATACTCTCTAAGTGTTGTGAGCTATAATCTAATCTAATCCATGTAAAGTCCTTAACATGGAGCAGAGAGCAAGAATTTTCACTTTTGGAACCATTTGGTAACTCTGAGTATGGATAAATAAAAAAGAAGACTAGCCCAGGCGTGGTGGGTCATGCCTGTAATCCCAGAACTTTGGGAAGCATTTTTGTAAAAATACAAAAAAAATTAGCCAAGTGTGGTGGTACTTGGGAGGTTGAGGCAGAAGAATTGCTTGAATCTGGGAGGTGGAGGATGCATCGAGCTGAGATTGTACCATTGCACTACAACGTGGGCAACAGCTAGGCTTGTCTCAAAAAAGAAATTAATTAAAAAGGCTGGGCACAGTGGTTCATGCCTGTAATTCCATGGTGAAATCCCATCTCTACTAAAAATACAAAAAATTAGCTGGGCATGGTGGCAAACATCTGTAATCCCAGCTGCTTGGGAAGCTGAGGCAGAAGAATCGCTTGAACCTGGGAAGCAAAAGTTGCAGTGAGCTGAGACTGCACCATTGCACTCCAGCCTGTGCAACAGGGCGAGACTCTTTCTCAAAAAGTAAATAAATAAGGCCAGGTGCAGTGGCTTACACCTGTAATCCCAGCACTTTTGGGAGGCTGAGGTGGGAGGATCACCTGAGGTCAGGAGTTAAAGACCAGCCTGACCAACATAAACTCTGTCTCTACTAAAAATACAAAAAAATTAGCCAGGTATGGTAGTAGCACATGCCTGTAATCCCAGCTACTTGGAAGGCTGAGGCAGGAGAATCACTTGAACCTGGGAGGCGGAGGTTGCCATGAGCCATGACAGCACCATTGCGCTCCAACCTGGGCAACAAAAGAGAAACTCCTTCTCAAATAAATAAGCAAACAAATAAATGGGAAGACTCTTATGTATCCTGTCTTTCCTACATTATGAGTAAATAAGTGGAATTTATCTCTTCTCTTCATATTTATACTAATAGAATTATAATTAAAACATCATAATTTTATAACCTCTAACAAATAAGGCGATCTATACAGCAAGCATCAAGGTACAAGGTTCTCCCTAAGGAATGGCAAAGGGAAAGGGAGGATGCAGAAATTTTTGTCTAACAGCTTCTCATATTTATAAATCTGCCAGTTGTCTGTTTTATGCCTCCAAAATGAATGTATAGGTGTAAGCAAGTCAAAAGGGGAAGGATTTTTGTAAGCTTTACATATACGTATCAAAAGCATTCTTCGAAGAATGGTCAGGCATAGTGGCTCACACCCGTAATCCTAGTCCTTTTGGGAGGCTGAGGTGAGGAAGATTGCTTGAGCTAAAGAGTTTTGAGACCAGCGTGGGCCACCTAGTGTGACCCTGCCTCTACAAAAAAATTTAAAAATTAGCCAGATGTGGTGGTACAAGCCTACAGTGCCAATACTCTAGAGGCTGAGGCAGGAGGATCGTTTGAGCCTAGGAGGTCAAGACTGCAGTGAAAAATACACAAGCACAAGCCTCTCAGTGTTTTTAAATTTTTTAAATTAAGTCTATTAAAAATAAAAACAAAACAAATATCTAGAGAGAATATCAAAGAAACTTTTTTGAGACTGAGTCTTGCTCAGCTGCCCAGGCTGGAGTGCAGTGGCGCAATCTCAGCTCACTGCAACCACCATCTTCTGAGTTTAAGTGATTCCCTCATCTCAGCCTCCCAAGTATCTGGGATTACAGGCACCCGCCATCACACCCAGCTAATTTTTGCATTTTAGCACAGACTGGGTTTCATCGCATTGGCCATTCTGTTCTTGAACTCCTGACCTCAGGTGACACGCCCACTTTGGCCTCCCTAAGTGCTAGGATTATAGGCGTGAGCCACTGTGACCAGCTGGCAGAGAAAATTTTTAAGTAAAAAATAATGGGGGCATACAATAAATTACCAGCAATAAAATGAAATTCCAATAATGCAACATAAATAAACCTCAAGAACATTTTACTAAAAAATGTCCTAAAACTACGCGCAGTGGCTCATGTCAAGAGGTTTAGGAAGCTGTGACTCTGCCCACTGCACTCCAGCCTGGGTGACAGAGTGAGATCCCATCTAAAAGAAAACAAACAAACAAAGAAACAAACACACTACAATGTTCTTTGGTAGGACACAGAATATCATCCAGGGAAAAGACTGGATGTGCTGAGTGGAAAGGGCAAGGTGTTTCTGAGCAGAAATATTCCACATCTTGTTCTTGAGTGATAATTAACCAAGTGAAAGCATAGTCACTGAGCTGTATACTTAAGACCTGTGCATTTTTAAATTTATAAATTATACCTCAATAAAATATTGTTTTTTAAATTTATTCTACAAAGATTCTCAAACTATTATAATAACTTTCAAACAATCCCAGCTATTTAAGATAGTCCCTTGGCACCAATGTTATCAAAATAAACACATACATCTGGACACAGTGACTCATGCCTGTAATGCTAACACTTTGAGGCCAGGAGTTTGAAGCCAGCCTGGGCAACACAGCAAGACCCAGTCTCTATAAAAATAAATAGGATATTTAAATAAAAATCGGCCGGGCGCGGTGGCTCACGCCTGTAATACCAGCACTTTGGGAGGCCGAGGCGGGTAGATTACCTGAGGTTAGGAGTTTGAGACCAGCCTGACCAACATGGTGAAACCCCATCCCCTCTTCCCCCAAAAAAAGAAAAAATAAAAGAAAAATAAATAAATAAATGAAAATAATAGTTCCAGCAGAGTGTGGTGGCTCACTTCTGTAATCCTGGCCCTTTGGGAAGCCGAGGTGGGTGGATAACGAGGTCAACAGATAGAGACCATCATGGCCAACATGGTGAAACCCCATCACTACTAAAAACACAAAAATTAGCTGGGTGTGGTGGTGCACACCTATAGTCCTAGCTACTCAGGATGCTTAGGCAGGAGAATCATTTGAACCCGGGAGGCAAAGGTTGCAGTGAGCCAAGATCCCGCTACTGTTAACTCCAGCCTGGCAACAGAGCAAGACTCCGTATCAAACAAACAAACAAAAGGCTGGGTGTGATAGTTCACACTTGTAATTCAGCACTTTGGGAGGCCAAAGGTGGGCAGATCACAAGCTCAGGAGTCCAAGACCAGCCTGTTCAATATAGTGAAACCTCATTTCTACTAAAAAAATAAAAACAAAAAAATAAACAAACTTAGCTGGGGCGTGGTAGCTCATGCTTGTAGTCCTAGCTACTCAGGAGGCTGATGTGGGAGAATCGCTTGAACCTGGGAGACAGAGGCTGAAGTGAGCTGAGGCTGGGCCACTGCACTCCAGCCTGGGCGACAGAGTGAGACTCCATCTCAAAAAAAAAAAAAAAAAAGAAAAAAAAAATATATAATATTAGCTGGGCGTGGTGGCGGGTGCCTGTAATACCAGTTTCTCAGGAGGCTGAGGCAGGAGAATCGCTAGAACCCAGGAACCGGAGGTTGCAATGAGTCAAGATTGCGCCACTGCACTCCAGCTGGGTGACAAGAGCAAAACTCCATCTCAAAAATAATAATAATAGTCCCCATTAGCTGGAGTGGTGGCATGTGCCAGTAGACCCAGCTACTCAGGAAACTGAGGCAGGAGAATGGCTTGAGGCCAGGCATTTGAAGTTGCAGTAAGGTGTGATCATACCACTGCATTCCAGCCTGGGCAACAGAATCCCCAACTCCAAAAACATAAACAGCAACAAAAATTACTTATTTGTGAGCCTTTGTCCTATAATATATAATCTGAAACTCAGTATCTTTGTATTACTAAGATTGGAGACAGCATATACTTGTTTTTAGTAACCAGCATATATACAACAGCTAGTAACTATTACTAGTTTTTAAGACACCATTAAAATACTTGCTATACTATACCAGCAGCTACTAAAAATCATTTTTAAAATATAGTAGGCAAAACTCAAAACATTTTGCAAACCCAAAAACAATTGTTTCAGGCAAAGATTATTAACTGGTGTAAAACACCATAAACATTTAAACAGTGACAAGACAAACTATTACTAATTCAATGAAAGGATGAAAGTATATAGTCCTTCTATATGCAGTGACCCAACATTATATTAATGGATCAACCAGATGTGACTTTAAATGAGGCATATCATTTGTGGGAAAGATTATCAAGGATTTAAATTTAATTTCCAGTTTACAATACAAAAGATAGAAGAAAAGTTAAATGACACCACGAGAAAACAAGTGGACATATCCAGAAGGGAGGACATTCTACAAAAAAAAAAAGGTCATATTTTTTCAATGCCCTATATTCCCCATCTGTAAAATGGGGATAATAGAACTCATGCAACACAAAATAGTCATGAAGACTAAAACTAGTTAACTAAAATAAAGCTCTTGGCCAGGAGCAGTGGCTCACGCCTGTAATCCCAGCACTTCGGAAGGCTGAAGCAGGCAGACCACTTGACTTCAGGAGTTCAAGACCATGCTGGCCAACATGATGAAACCTCATCTCTACAAAAAATACAAAATTAGCCAGGCATGGTGGCGCATGCCTGTAATCCCAGCTACTTGGGAGGCTGAAGCAGGAGAATCACTTGAACCCAGAAAACGGAGGTTGCAGTGAGCTGAGATCATGCCATTGCACTCCAGCCTGGGCAACAAGAGCAAAACTCTGCTACAGAAAAAAAAAGTAATAATAATAATAATATAAAGCTTCTAAATATTTTACTAAAAAGCTAGAGTACAACTATCAACAGGACATGATGCCTACCCCGAAAGGCATCCATGTTACCGTCCAGAGAATGAAACCAGAAACCACTCAAAAATAAGGAAATCAGGTTTCTGGTTAACTGGCACCACTCAATAGCTTAGATTTAGGGAAAAAACGCTCAAAGTACATTAACATGACAAGCATGTGGGGTCAAGAAAGACTAGCAAGCATACTAAAGGACACACCTTCACAGCTGTTCAAATAAATCAGAACCTGCAATATAATCAAATCTCACTATCAAGTCTTATTCCTAACTCATGGCAGCAATGTCCAGTAGATAATGCATATCACACATGTAATCTTAAATTTTCTAGTAGTCATATAACAAAGGTAAAAAGAAAAACAGGTAAAATTTGTTACTACTTTTTAAAGCCAATGTATTCAATAATTTCACCATATGATCAACTTGAAAAATAAATATTTAACATTATTTATTTTTTCTCTAACCTGCTTCACTGCAAGATATTCTTCATACTATTTGGAACTGTGGCCAGGTGTGGTGGCTCACACCTGCAACCCCAGCACTTTGGAAGGCCAAGATGTGCAGTTCACTTGAGGCCAGGAGTTCGAGACCAGCCTGGCCAACATGGTGAAATCCCATCTCTACTAAAATTACAAAAATTAGCCAGGCATGGTGGCACATGCCTGCAATCCCAGCTCCTAGGGAGGTTGAGGCATGAGAATTGCTTAAACCCAGGAGGCAGAGGTTGCAGTGAGCTGAGATCTGTGCAACTGCACTCCAGCCTGGGGGACAGAGCAAGACTCTATCTCGACTAAAGAAAAAAAAAAGGAAAACAAAATCTGGTAAGTACATATTCTATAAATATCAATTCAAACTAGCAAGGTTTCAAAAGTTTAATAACCACATGTGGTTAGTGGCTACTCAACTGAAGAGCACAGATCTAAGATAATTATTAACTTAAGGGAAATGGGTCTACATAGACTTTTGTAAATAGCAAGATTTAAGATACTTTTTCCACAGAGACATACTTTCTAAATCTGTATTCTAATCAGAAGTGGTAGTTGGGCCAGCCATGGTGGCTCACACCTGTAATCCTAGCTGAGACAGGCGGATCACGAGGTCAGGAGTTCAAGAACAGCCTGACCAACATGGTAAAACCCATCTCTACTAAAAATATAAAAATTAGCCAGGCATGGTGGCGCACGCCTGTAATCCACCTACTCAGGAGGCTGAGGCAGGAGAATTGCTTGAACCCGGTAGGTGGAGGGTGCAATGAGCTGACATTGCGCCACTGCACTCCAGCATTGGCAACAGAGCAAGGCTCAGTCTACTGTGTTTTTTTGTTTTGTTTTGTTTTTTGGCTCAGTCTCAAAAAGAAAAAAAAGAAGTGGTAGCTCACCAAGTGTCATCAGGGCTGGAATAAAATAATTACCCATTTGAGCAAGATCACCAATAATAACATTACTTTTTAACTTGATAATGGGGACTAATTTTTTCTTTTTTTTTTTGAGACAGAGTTTTGCTCTTGTTGCCCAGGCTGGAGTGCAATGGTGTGATCTTGGCTCACTGCCACCTCTGCCTCCCAGGTTCAAGCGATTCTCCTGCCTCAGCCTCCTGAGTAGCTGGGATTACAGGCATGTACCACCATGCCCAGCTAATTTTTTATTTTTAGTAGAGACAAGGTTTCTCCATGTTGGTCAGGCTGGTCTTGAACTCCTAACCTCAAGTGATCTGCCCACCTCAACCTCCCAAAGTGTTGGGATTACAGGCGTGAGTCACCATACCCAGCCAATGGGGTCTAATTCTGAGTGGTGATAGTGACTGCTTCGGTCACTGGAGTGGATGAATCTCTCATTGTTATAGTCCTATAGTCTTACTATAGCTTAATAATTGGCATCCTAGACTGTTTATTATTCTCTTTTTCAAGCCAAGCTTTTGCAGTCAGTCCTCGAAAGCTCTACCAAACCTTGAAACACAACAAACCTAAATTATAGGACCTGAAAAGCTAAAAAGGAATCCCTGACACATGTCAACCACACATGATGTATCTCAGCTTTATAATGTTAGGGGAAATGTGAGAAGTAGGAGTTACGCAGAAAGGATCAATCAGCCTTGGTCTATATTAGTTTAACTTCTGTTGGAGGAATGCTTCAAAGATTTGATAAGAATTAAGGCCCCTCCTCCCAGAAAATGTGTACCCAAAAATTTCACTCTCAGGAGGTCCACCTTTGGATTCCACATTAGGAATTCCCGATAGAACACTGATTTTTAAATTCTGACTTCTAAATTCTATTAAAACTAAATCATAAATAAATAACTCAGTTACAAGTCTAAAAGAATGTCCTCAAAATGGTCATTTACTGAAAATGATAGAGAAGTTCCCATTTCATACCAACCTGAATGAGTACGCATATGTCTAGTTAGATGAGTCTTCTGAGAACTTGAGTAAGGACAAAGTTCACATTTATATGGGCGTTCTCCTGCAAAATTTCAATGATGAAGAGTGTTTAAATGTCACTCTTTGGTTTAAAATAAACCAAACACAATTCTCACTAACAATGCAAAAATATTCAGTACTCAGTACATTTTAACAAGAATTTTTTTCCTATTGCTGACAAAAAGATCAATTTATCATGTATTTAAACTGTAAGTTATTTATTTCAGAAATTATGACATTATTTTGGCTTTGAGAAAAAACAACACTGACTTTCTGAATTCTCACAGCCCTTTTAATTTTCACAGTGATACTGCATGTTATTACATTTAGTAGTGAGAAGTGAAAAACTATCTTGATAAGGTAATCAAGCATGTTTGTTAAATAAGAATACCCCTTCTTTTTTTTTGAGACAGTTTCGCTCTTGTTACCCAGGCTGAAGTGCAGTGGCGCGATCTCGGCTCACCGCAACCTCCGCCTCCTGGGTTCAAGCAATTCTCCTGCCTCAGCCTCCCGAGTAGCTGGGGCTACAGGTGCGCACTACCATGCCCAGCTAATTGTTGTATTAGTAGAGATGGGGTTTCACCATGTTGACCAGGATGGTCTCAATCTCTTGACTTCATGATCCACCCGCCTCGGCCTCCCAAAGTGCTGGGATTATAGGCGTGAGCCACCGTGTCCGGCCAAGAATATCCTTTAAAAAAAATCTACCGGAATTGTCTAATGCTATTAACAGCAGTTTTCTTTTTGAACCTTGTAAATGATTAATCTACCACTTGAACTTGTTAGCTTAAAGCAACAATACTTTTGAGTGGGGATGTAGTTGCTTTATGCTAAAAATTCAAGTGGTAGAGTTCCAGACCAGCCTAGGCAACACAGCAAGGCCCCATCTCTAAAAATGTACTTTAAAAACTAGCTTGGGTCGGGCATGACGGCTCATGCCTGTACTCCCAGCACCAGCTCACTGGTCAGGAGTTCGAGACCAGTCTGACCAACATGGAAAAACCCTGTCTCTACTAAAAATACAAAAGTAGCCAGGCATGGTGGCACATGCCTATAATCCCAGCTACTTGGGAGGCTGAGGCAGGAGAATCACTTGAACTGGGAGACAGGTTGCAGTGAGCCAAGATCACACCATTGCACTCCAGCTTGGGCAACAAGAGTGAAACTCTGTCTCAAAAAAAAAAAAAAACCTAACCTGGGCTGAGTATGGGGATTATGGCCCCCACCTGTGGTAACCCTAACACTTTGGGAGGCCAAGACAGGTGGATTGCTTGAGCCCAGGAGTTCAAGACTAGCCTGGGCAACACAGTAATACCTCCTCTCTAAAAAAAAAAAAAAAAATAGAAAAATTAGCCAGGTGTGGTGGCACATGCCTGTGGTCCCAGCAACTTGGGAGGCTGAGGTGGAAGGATTGGTCGAGCCCAGGAAGGACAAGGCTGGTACGAGCTGTGATTATACCATCGTGTTCCAGCCTGGGTGAAAGTGAGATCCTGTAGACCCAGCACCTGGGAGGCTGAGGCAGGAAGATCACTTGAGCCCAGAGTTTGAGGTTGCAGTGAGCTATGATGGCACCACCGTATTCTAGCCTTGGAGAAAGAGGGAGATCCTCTCTCTAAAAACATAAAATAAAAAACAGTTATGTTATAAAGTTAGGCCCGGCGCAGTGGCTCATACCTGTAATCTTAGCACTTTGAGAGGCCAAGGAGGGTGGACTGCCTGAGCTCAGGAGTTCAAAACCAGCCTGGGCAACAGAGTGAAACCCCGTCTCTACTAAAAATAACAAAAAATAGTCAGGCATGCTGGGGTGCGCCTGTAGTCCCAGCTACTCAAGAGGCTGAGGCAGAACTGCTTGAACCCAGGACGCAGAGGTTGCAGTAAGCCGAGATCATGCCACTGTACTCCAGCCTGGGCGACAGAGTAAGACTTGAAAAATTTAAGAAATAGGTCATCAATTTTCTTTTTTCTTTTTCTTTTTTTAAAGACGGGGTTTCACCATGTTGGTCAGGCTGGTCTTGAACTCCCAACCTCAGGTGATCCTCCCGCCTTGGCCTCCAAAGTGCTTGGATTATAGGCGTGAGCCACTGTGCCCGGCCCAACTTTCTTCTTACTGTTATAGGATAGGGTCTTGCTCTGTCGCCCAGACTGGAGTACAATGGCGTGAGCATGGCTGCTGCAGCCTCGACCTCCTGGGCGTAATAGATCTTCCAGCCTCCTAAGTAGCTCGAACCACAGACGTGTAAAACCATGCCCCGTTAATGTTGTTGGGTTTTTTTTTTAAGAGACCAGATTTTGCCAGACTGGTCTCGAACTCCTGGGCTGAAACAATCTAACTGTCTTGGTGTCCCAAAGTGCTGGGATTACAGGCATGAGCCACCAGGCCCAATTAGTCACTAATTTTAAAAAACAAATTCTAAAAGCCACAGGGACTGAAGACTAGAGGCCAGTGACTTTTTTTTTTTTTTTTCTACCTTCACTTGAGGGTTTAGAGGCCAGTGATTTAACACTGAAGAATTAAGACTCAAAGGCAGGAAATGTATATTCTTTTTAGATATGGCTGTCAACCACAAAACAAGCTTTAAAGAAAAGTGTACAATTTGTTTTAATATAGTCTCCAGACACAAGATAATTATGACTTTGGTAAAGTTACTAACAGGCCGTTTCCCCAGCTGTAAAAGTAATAGAATCTTCATTTCCTACAATTGTGAAAGTTTAAATAATACATGCAGAGCATTTAACACTGTGCCTGGCACATAATAAAGCCCTCAATAAATGTCAGCTGTCAATTTTGTCAATATAACAAAATACAGAAACAAATGTGTCTAATAAAATAAGGAAAAGATGGTACACAGAAAAAAAGAATAGGCCAGGCATGGTGGCTCATGCCTATAATCCCAGCACTTTGGGAGGCAGGCAGATAGTTTGAGCCCAGAAGATTGAGGCTGCAGTGAGTGGTGATCACACCAGTGCACTCCATACAGGGCAACAGAACTGTATGTCTCAAAACAAACAACAACAAAAAGAATGGTGGCAAGTGGGAAAAGTGTTCCTAGTAACTATTCTACTGTAATTTGCTGGTAGCTATGCATAAGCTGTAAAGAGCTGGTAGCAATAGAATGCCAACCTTTTGACCTGAACAATTAAGGTAGTTTTATGTTAATGGAATTCTGTAAAAAATGATATACAAATAGCCAATAAACACATGAAAAGATGAACATTATCATTAGCCTTGAGGGAAATGCAAATCAAAACCACAATGAGATGAAAACTTCATACCCACTAGGAAGGTATCTGTAATCACAAAGACAGATGTTAACAGTATCACTGCTGAGGATGTGCTGCAATTGGAACCCTCACACATTGCTGGTGGGATTGTAAAATGGCATGGGTAATTTGGAAAACAATTTGGCAGTTAACCAAATGTTGCTACTATACTTCCCCACAATCTGACTCTTAGGTATATATATCCAAAAGAAACAAAAACATATATCCACATGAAAACCTAAACATGAATATTCCTAGCAGCATTATTCAGACTGTATATTATATGATTCCATTTATATGAAATATTCAGGGCGGGGCGCAGTGGCTCAAGCCTGTAATCCCAGCACTTTGAGAGGCCAAGGCAGGTGGATCACGAGGTCAAGAGATCGAGACCATCCTGGTCAACATGCTGAAACCCCGTCTCTACTAAAAATACAAAAAATTAGCTGAGCGTGGTGGCGCGTGCCTGTACTCCCAGCTACTCAGGAGGCTGAGGTAGGAGAATTGCCTGAACCCAGGAGGCGGAGGTTGTGGTGAGCCGAGATCGTGCCATTGCATTCCAGCCTGGGTAACAAGAGCAAAACTCCGTCTCAAAAAAAAAAAAAAGAAAAAGAAATATTCAAAACAGGCCAATCTATAGTGAGCCGTATATGTAAACTGTATCTCAACAAAGTTGGAAAAAATTAAACCTCACTGCAGATAAACTTGAAGAATCAAAGAAAATTTACTTTTACATTATTTTATTATTATTACTATTTTTTGAGACGAGGTTTCACTCTTGTTGCCCAGGCTGGTGTGCAATGGCGCGATCTTGGCTCACTGCAACCTCTGCCTCCTAAGTTCAAGCGATTCTCCTGCCTCAGCCTCCAGGGTAGCTGGGACTACAGGCGCGCACCACCATGCCCAACTAACTTTGTATTTTTTTAGTAGAAGCGGGGTTTCTCCATGTTGGTCAGGCTGGTCTGGAACTCCCCACCTCAGGTGATCCACCCGCCTTGGCCTCCCCAAAATGCTGGGATTACAGGCATGAGCCAACATGCCCAGCCTTTTTTTTTTTGAGTCGGAGCCTGGCTCTGTCGCCCAGGCTGCAGGGCAGTGGCACGATCTCAGCTCACTGCAACCTCTGCCTCTTGGGTTCAAGCGATTCTCCTATCTCAGCCTCCCGAGAAGCTGGGACTGACTACAGGCGCGTGCCACTATGCCAGGCCAATTTTGTATTTTTAGTAGAGATGGGGTTTCACCATGCCAGCCAGGCTGGTCTCGAACTCCTGACCTCGTGATCTGCCTGCCTCAACCTCCCAAAGTGCTGGGATTACAGGCATGAGCCACTGTATCCAGCCTACTTTTAAATTATTTACAACAGATTACCTTATCTGTGTAATTCTACAAACTAGGCCTAACTGTTCTAGAAAGCTTAGTTACCTACTGATTTTTCAGTTACTACACAGGTAAAGGGTTTTCTTTAAAAGTAGATTTTGTGAACCAGTTAAACACCAAAACCACTAAATTAAAGAGGTTAACCTGAATGAAAGTAATCCCCAACCACACCATCACCATAATAACCAGCTGTAGAATAATGAGATTGCTGAACTTTAAATGCTACTTGTTATTTTTCGAGATAGAGTCTCACTGTGTCTCGCAGGCTGGAGTGCAGTGCAACCTCCACCTCCCAAGGTCAAGTGATTCTCCTGCCTCAACCTCCCAGAGTGCTAGGATTACAGGTGTGAGCCACCACCAACAGCTTTAAATGATACTTGTATATGACTTTGGGAACATCACTTCAGACTTTTATATGTCAAGTTTTCCCCTCTGTAAACATGAACTGTTATCACAGATGCTATTTTCCTCAATGAACTGTTCTGAAGATTAGCATAGAAGACAGCACCTAACACTGGTCACAAGAAACACAAACCCAGTAAGTGAATCAGAAAACTGGGCCACTTAATAATGCAAGTGGAAATGAGAATTCCTGCACACTCAATTTAAGTGATTCCTGTTGTTTTTCTCTCTACTCCTCTACAGCAGATGAGTTTATTTTCTATAATTTTCAGATTTATGCATTTAGTAACACCAGAGATACTTTCAGAATTTACATAATCAAAGTATTAACCTTCAATCTACCAAATTGTTTTAAGATGTATACATCACCAAACTGTTAAAGACGTAAAAAAAAAAAAAAGGCCAGGTTCCGTGGCTCAAGCCTGTAATCCCAGCACTTTGGGAGGCTGAGGTGGGGAGATCACAAGGTCAGGAGTTTGAGACCAGCCTGTCCAATATGGCAAAACCCCATCTCTACTAAAAATGCCAAAAAAATTAGCTGGGCATGGTGACACACACCTGTGATCCCAGCTACTCTGGAGGCCAAGGCTGGAGAATCACTTGAACCACCAGGAAGTGGAGGTTGCATGGCGCCAAGATTGCACCATTACACTCCAGCCTGAGCAACGGAGCAAGACTCTGTCTCAAGAAAAAAAAAATTCAGAATGAAGGTAGTACCGGGGAAAAACAAGCATTAAGACCAAATAAACCAGGGCAGTCATGGTGGCTCATGCCTGTAATCCCAGCACTTCAGGATGCTGAGACAAGCGGATCATCTGAGGTCAGGAGTCTGAGACTAGCCTGGCCAACAAGGTGAAACTCCATCTATACTGAAAATACAAAAATCCAGGCATGGTGGTGGGCACCTGTAATCCCAGCTAAATTAATATGATGTACTTACTTATGAGTTTGGTATATATGATGCCTGGGATTTGTTTTAAGATATTATAGGTGAGGTTGGCTTTGTCTAACAATCTAATTCAAACTGTCAAGTGATTAATGGGGTTGTATCCCCAAGTAACTTTCATTTCCTACTCTGTGTATTTTAGTAATACTTGACCTTTACTTCTGAAATCGAATGGTTTCAAAGCATGGAGGCAATCAATCACAGATTATGACGAATTCCAAAGGGACTACAAATTCTTTTACTAGACTAAATTTTAAAACATTCAACACATGAGGCATACATCTGCTGGGGCTTAGCAATCTTGTAACAGAGGTCACTCTTGTAATGGAATTTCACCTGCAAGTTTTATTGTTTATGTCTACCACTTAATAGTTTCGAAGTCTTTGGTATGTAAAAAATAAGTAAATAAAATAAATTTTAAAAAATTATGTCAGCTGGTTACAGTAGCTCACACCCATAATCCCAGCACTTTGGGAGGCTAAAGGCAGATTACTTGAGCTCGGGAGTTTTAGACCAACCTGGACAACATGGCGAAACCCCACCTCTACAAAACTACCAAAATTAGGCAGGTGTAGTGGCATCCATCTGTGGTCCCAGCTACTTGGGGGACTGAGGCAAGAAGATCACATGAGCCCAAGAGGTCAAGGCTGCAGTGAGCAGTGATCATGCCACTACACTCTAGGCTGGGTGACAAAGTAAAACTATCTCAAAAACAAAAAAAAAGTCTACCACTCCACTTAAAGCAGTAAAGCAGTAACAATTCCCCTCCCCAATGTCCTCTTCACCAGTGGGGTTCAGTCTTGGCAAGTGCCAGGACCTGTAAGTCCTATAAGAGGAGATCTGAGGCAAACAGCATCCCACAGCCCCTATTCATTCGTGATCTCGAGAGTAGAGTACTTGATTACTCTATCCATTAATCAGGACCCAAATGTACCAGTTCTTACCAGGAAAATGTAACAGAAATGTCCACGAGCTACCAATAGTTAAAAACATTTCTTTGAAAAATTAGGCCCTTTTGACAACAAACCAGTACAACTTTGGGCTTAAAAAAAGAAAGAAAGAAAGAAAGAAATTAAGAAAGAAAGAAAAATTAGGCCACTCAATTACAAATATTTAAAATCCAATTTAAATTTTTAAAAATTAGGTGGGTGTGGTAGTGCAGTCTCTAGTCCCAGTTACTTTGAAGGTTGGGGTAGGAGGACTGCTTGAACCCAGAAACTAAAGGTTGCAGTGAGCTATGATCACACCACTGCCTGGGCTACAGCTTGAGACTCTGTCTCAAATAAATAAATAAAACTCAATTAAGGCCGGGCTCAGTGGTTTACATGCATGTAATCCGAGCACTTTGGGAGTCCCAGACAGGCAGATCACCTGAGGTTGGGAGTTTGAGACCAGCCTGACCAACATGAATAAACCCCGTCTCTACGAAAAACAAAAAATTAGCTGGGTGTGGTGGCATAAGACTGTAATACCAACTACTAAGGAAGCTGGGGCAGGAGAATCGCTTGACTCTGAGGTGGAGGTTGCAGATCATGCCATTGTACTCCACCGTGGGCAACAAGAGCAAAACTCTGTCTCAAAAAAAAAAAAAAAAAAACTACAGTGGACACCAGCTGAATCAAACCCAATTTAAAAGTGAATGACTGGTGTGCACAGTGGCTCATGCCTATAATCCCAACACTAGGGAAGGCTGAGTCAGGAGGATCACTTGAGGTCAGGCATTTAAGACCAGCCTGGGCAACATAGTGAGACCCCCATCTCTACAAAAAGAAATTTTAAAAGTTTCTGCCAGGTGTGGCGGCTCACGCCTTTAATACCAGCACTTTAAGAGGCTGAGATGGGTGGATCACCTAAGGTCAAGAGTTTGAGAACAGCTGCTACTAAAAATACAAAAATTAGCTGGGCGAGATGGCGGGCACCTATGATCCCAGCTACTCGGGAGGCTGAGATAGGAGAATCGCTTAAACCCGGGAGGCAGAGATTGCAGTGAGCTGAGATCGTGCCACTGCACTCCAGCCTGGGTGACAGAGCCTGACTCCATTTCAAAAAAACAAAGTTTCAACTTTTTTGATAGTTATACTTAGTGTGAGTTCAAACAAGCTAAACATAATTCTCTGGAAAATACATTTTCTACGTGAGTTTGCTTTCACAGGAAAATGGTTTCAATTGGTGATAATCTCACCCATCTTTTAAAAACTACCTTCTCACATTTCTTTTAGGAACTCAATGCTGTAAGTCAAATGTTTTAAAGTTTGAGACTTTTGTTAGGCAGAGATATGCAAGGTTAATCACTGAGTTTTCCTTTTTATGTAAGCCCTCAATTCCTTTCAGAAATTATACTGCATCTTAGATGTGTTCAGTGTCACAAAAATAAATATACAAACTTTTCCTTTTTTCTTTTAAAAAGGGGTCTTCCCATGTTTCCTAGACTGATCTAGAACTTCCAGGCTCAGGCAGTCCTTCTGCCTGGTCCTCAAGTGCTAGGATTACAGGCATTGAGCCACCAGACACAGCCATCAACAAACTTAAAAGCAGTCTACCTTGCTGAAAGTAAATCCCAAGTTAGAATATGTACTTTAGGAAGAGCGTGGCAAGATCTCTTGGCTGTTCCTCCCAGATAACACTCTGTGCTTTACATATAACTTCACATAATCCTCCCATCCTAGATGTTGTTATTCCATGGAGAAAATTCTGAACAAAGATGTTAAACAACTCGTGCAAGGTCATAAAGATAGCAAATAATGGAACCTGGATTTGAACCAGAGTCCTTTTCCTCAAGGACTTTTCCTCCACTAACCACTCAACGATCAGAAATGAGAACTGAACTTATGGACAAGAAAGCTTCTCTTACCTGTATGAGTTCTAACATGCTGAACGTAATTGTTTTTTCTGTCTGAAAAATAGTTGCATTTTCCACAAGTGTATACTTTCCTTGGAAAATGGTTTCTCAAGTGTTTCCTCCAGTGATACTCGCTTACTGTTGTGTATGTGCAGATGATGCACTTGTAGACGCGCTCATTATCCCCAGCTCTGGTGTGGTGTTTCAGGTGTGCAGTATAGTGATCATATCGATTGGTATTATAGCCACAGCGGTCACAGCGAATGGGGCCCTTGGAGAAATCTCCCTCTTCTGCAGTGGAAGAGCCAGATTCCCTGGCTTTTGCCTGCTTCTCTGCACTCTCTTCCACAAAAAATTTCTTGGCACTGTGAACTCTGATGTGATGCACAAACTGTTCTTCAGATTCTGCTTCATACTGACATGGCTTACAGCGAAAGGGTTTGGTCTTTGAGTTCTTGCCTTTGTCCTCCACTCCAGGTGTTTCAGGAGGAAGATCTTTATTTGAGCTGTAAATCTCTGGAGCAGCTGATGCCTCAAATACAGGCTGAGGTTCTACGACACTGAGTTCCAAACTTCTCAGTTCCATGTTTTCCATTCCATTAGGTTCACCTTTGATTTCAGCAGACTCTTCAAGTCCTTCTCCTTCACTATCTGAAAAGTTGTTATCCCCAACAGGCATCAATTCTGCCATCTGTCTTTCTTCACCAACCAGGTAATCACAGCAGCTGCCATTTACTTCCCCAGTTAAGGCCACATTTGCCAGCATGATAAGCTGAGGTGCAGCCAGTTCAGCTTTGGAGAGGTCATGCAAGTCATACATGTCGTTAGGCAAGGCCATTCCAATATTGCCACTGCTGGTAAATAGCCCTCCTCCTCCAGAAGACTGCCCCATTACCTGGGTGGCCATAACTGTATTCTGAATTAAAAGTAAAACAGAACAAAAGCACCAGTTTAAACACTACTGTTACTGGCTTAAAACCATATCACTGTAATTCTTCGTAACTGAAAAAATTTCCAGTATGATCTTTATAACTCAATAAACTTCATCACTTATTAAAAACAAACCTTTAAAATAGTCGTTAATGCCCAAGAGTCTACTGCAATCACAAAAAAAAAAAAAAAAAAGTTCTACTATCCCTAGAAAACAATTCTACCAATTGTTTGTCATAACTCATTCATCATCCAGCCACTGGCATATGGTCCCTCAAGCACTTTAATTGTTCTGGTGGGGATAAAAAGTAACCTTCATTTTTCCTGTTAAAAATATTTTTAAAACTCAATACAAGAGTAGTAAATTATTGTCCTCTCAACTTCCCCTCATTGCCCTCTTTCTGATTCAATGGTCTGAATCAGAAAGCCCAGAAATCCACAAGCTATTCAGTGCATTTATTAAGTACACAAACACATCTGGAAAGTAGAAGCCTGTAATAATTATTCAACTTAATTGGATTTCGCATGAATTCAACTAACTCCAAAAGAATAAACTACTGTGAAAAAGTACCAGTTAGTCCCTCTTAATTTCTCGACAACTCTACAGGCTTAAAAGAAAAACATTATGGGACCCTTTTTCTTGTAAAAAAAAAAAGTAAGTTTGATTTATTCAAAACTCAGCAAATAAAAATTAATAAGCTTATTTTTCTGCAGGCTGAAATTCTACAACACTGAATTCCAAGCTTCTCAATACGAATATAATCATCGTGCAACTCAACTCGACAATCCGCAACTTTCTTGCATTGTGCTTGACTTGGCCTACTTGTCTAGTGGAAGCCATTACAAGATCACCTTCTTGAAAACAAGTTGGGCTTTCTAAGCTCTTAACTACATTACTTCTCAGTCTAAAAGGTGCTATTCTCAAACGAAGTGTTCTCTTGCAAATTCAAAAAAAAAATCCTAAGAAAATAAAGTTAAACCAAAAATACAAAAAGCAATCTGATTCACCCAAGTGTATAAACACAAACGGGTTTAGTTCTACGTACCAACTAAAAAGTTGGAAGCAAATGCCATCACAGAAAACAGAGGGCGAAAGCTGTCCCGGGGCTGAACAGCCCCAAGCTACTGGGCAATGTAGCCCAATATCGACTTTTCTAATCGCTCCCTAACCCCTAACTGCCACCCCAAAAGGAATTTTAACGATTGTTAGGAAGACCGTCCAGGCACAGCCCGAAAGTCCAACGTGCTGCACGAATTCCTCTGTGCTGCTGCCACCAGCGTCTGCCTCGGCCGCGGCATTCCTAACTGAAATAGGCATTCGGCCATTTTCTCAAAATACCAAACACAAAGCAGCTCTTTGCAAACTCGGGCGGCTCTCGCTTCCTCTCGCCTCGGCCCGATTACTGCACGCATTTACACACCAACTCGCAGGAGTCGCCCCAACACTCGTCCTGAGCCTTTTCCTGCGCTCTCCAACACTAAAACTGGGGAGGGGAGCAAGCTCGTGGCGCTGTTTGGCCGGACCGAATCCTCCCCGGGTCCAGGCAGACCCCTCCCCAGCCCTCGGGCCCTGGTCCTCCGAGAGGAAAGAAAGTTACCGCGTAGCCAACGTCCAGGCTTCTGACTGCCCCCAGGCCCCTCCGACCGCCCGAGGCTCGCCCAACGCCCAGGGCTGGGGAGGCTCCGCGGGCGCCCTCGCGAGGCGTCGGGCCCCGAGCGCCGGAGGGGGCCCCCACGCGGGCCAGCCGCCACCCCCGCGCCCCGGAAGTTTGCGAACTTCACTCCCCCACGGGGCCCGGCAGGACGCGCGCCTCAGTCCAGCCAACTCGGATGGTCGGTGGCCGGACGCGGGGGCCCGAGGCGCCCGGCGGCCGAAGCGCAGAAATCGCTGTCCAGCCCGGCTGGCGGAACCGCCCGGGCCCCGGGGCTGACTCAACCCGCCCGGCCACACTCAACGGCGCCTTCCGGCGACAGGGAGAGGCTCTGGGGGAGGGGGACGCGAGGGCCTCGGGCCCGCGCGGGGCTGCGGTGGGAGCTGGGGGCTGGAGGAGGAAACAGAGGAAGTTTCAGGACTAGGGCCCAGAGCAGCTCCTCTCCTTGGCCTCAAAGGACCAGATTCGGAGGAGCGTCCTGGCCCGCGCAGAGGCGGTGTCCCAGCTTCCAGTGGGGAGGGGGTCCAAGCGACGCGCCGCTCCCAACAAACGCCCCCAGCCCCCGGGCGGCGGCTGTGTAACCCGATCCCGCTCGGCCGCCAGTCCCCGCCCGGCGCGGTCACCGCCGCCAGAGCCACAGTATCTGCAAATCAGCCCTGGACAGCGCCTGGCTCCGCGTCCTTCCGCGCCCTCCCCCTCCCGCCACCGCCGCCGCCCGACTGGCCCTCCCCCACCCCGACCGAGCCCTCTGCCCCGCGCCACACTTACCGGCCTTCCTCAGGGAGGAGGGGCGGGCGACCCTGAGTCGCCGCTCCTTCTCCGACTACTTTTCTTTGTTGCTGGAGTTTCGGGGGAAGGGTGGGGGAGGGTGGAAAAGTTGGGTGCTGGGGCCGTCGAGGACCGAAAAGGCCCAAGAGTGGGGCTGCAGAGGGTATTCAGGCCTCCGGGACTCGCCCAGCGGTCTCCGCTGCCGCCGCCGCCGGGGTCTGGGGCCCCGGGCCTCGGCGGCGCTCGCTCAGCTTCTGCGCCGCGAGCTCGCGGGAGCCGCACATTCCAACACAGGACGCTGCGCCGTGCACCCAGCCCGCGCCGCGCCGCCGCCTCCCGCGGGACACGCCCCCTCGACGCCGCGCGCGGCCGCGAGACACGCCCCCTCCGACGCCGGCGCGCCCCGCCCCTCGACCAAGCCGGGAGTGCCCCAGTCTCCAGCCAGCCTGGGGGCGCGTCTAGGGGGAGCCGCTGGTAATCCTCCCAGCCCCTCACTCCTGCCCTTAGGTCAGAAAAGAGGCGGGGCCCCACTCCCTTTCTCGATTTCTTTTATAAACAAACAACAGAAGTTACCCCAAGCCCTGGCGTGCATGCATGAGAATAGAGCTGTTAAAAGAAGAATCCGCAGGCTTTGACCGATCTCTTTACAGCTATTGTCACCGGCCTCTCAAGTCTAAAGCGCTCGAAGATACCCTTCAAATCTCTTCAACTCTCTACCCATGGCTATCCTTGACTAATTAAGCTTCGCTTTAAGCGTCTGGGAGTTGGGAGTTGCGAGAAAACATTTCGGGAGGGAGGTTATGGACTCAAAGTGAGTGTGAGGACTGAGGGGACAGATCCCTAGACGTGGCAGGTAGCAAATCATTGCTGAACCTGGAAAGCACGACTTCAGGGAAGGAATTACCCTCAAATTACAGAGAGAAGAGAGGGTGCTGAGGACGGAGAGGCCGCCTGGGACCACGGTGTGTCGGAGTAACCAGACTCACGTCTCGGAAGCGGGATAACCAAGCGGAATGCCTGGCCCATAGTCATGTGCTAACAAAAACAACAACAAAAGAACAGAGAGAGTAATTCCACTCCCTTCTCACCTGAAAGGGCTTCTCAGTCTGCCTTTGATACCTTCCTAAACGTCGGTCTTAAGTCACACCTGAGGTCGGGCGCGGTGGCTCACGCCTGTAATCGCAGCATTTTGGGAGGCCGAAGCGGGCGGATCACGAGATTAGGAGATCGAGACCATCTTGGCTAACACGGTGAACCCCCGTCTCTACTAAAAATACAAAAATTAGCCGGGTGTCGTGGCACGCGCCTGTAGTCCCAGCTACTCGGGAGGCTGATGCAGGAGAATCGCTTGAACGCGGGAGGCGGAAGTTGAGGTGAGCCGAGATTGTGCCACTGCACTCCAGCCTGGGCGACAGAGAGACTCGGTCTCAAAACAACAACAACAACAAAAACACAACTGTTCTTAGAAGCATAATGGCTCCCCATGACTACAAACTTAAAGCTTAAACTCCTTAGTGTGGTGTTCAAGGCCCTACTACTTAACCTGACCTAGATAAGTCAGACTATTGCTGATATTACAACATAAGTAACAAGTGCTATGGGGGTTTGTCAGTAGGGAGATGGATCCCAAGAGGTTCTAGAAACTTCACAGTAGATGTATTCATTTGACCTTGGAGAATGAGGAAACTTTCAACAGGTGGAAAGTAGGGCAAGGAACATTATACACAGTGAAAAGGGCAAACTCAAAAATCCCAAAGCAGTTGTTAAGACATCCCAGCTTCTCCTCAGCGTACCTCACTTCCTTCTCTTTGAAGTCCCTTTATTTGTTTCTCTTAGGGCAGGGCTTCCAGATTCCTCATTTCCTGGTATACTATACCCACATAGGACCTCTGCTTCCCTCTATCTGGACAATACATTACTAATTAATGCAGCCTCCAATCCAAGATGGAATGAAGACCATAAGGTGCTTGGCCACCAAAAGTGAGGCAATTTCTTTTTTCTTGTCTTTCTTTTTGAGGCAGAGTCTCGCTCTGTTGCCCAGGCTGGAGTGCAGTGGTGCAGTCTTGGCTCACTGCAACCTTTGCTCTGGGGTTCAAGCAATTCTCCTGTCTCAACCTCTTCTCCTGTCTCAACCTCCTAAGTAGCTGGGACCACAGCAGCATGCCATCACGCCCAGCTAGTAGAGACAGGGTTTCACCACGTTGAACAGACTGGTTTCAAACTCCTGACCTCAGGTGATCCACCCACCTTGGCCTCCCAAAGTGCTGAAATTACAGGCATGAGCCATCGTGCCTGGCAGCAATTTCAAATGTAGGACCTCTCCATGAATCAAACCTGAAAGGTATTCATTTTCATTGAACCAAAGAGAGGAAGAAGGGAGGGAGAGAGGGAAGGAGAGAAGGGAGGGAGGGAGGAAAGGTAGATTAACATTTTTAGGACTGGTATAAAATTTTTTGTATATATTTTATTTTATTTTATTTTATTTTATTTGTTTAACGAGAATTGAATTTGAGATCATATGGCTTTTTTAGTTGCTGTAGCCCAGGGTACAGTTCAGGCCTCTACCAGGGTTGTCAGACATAAACTGTTTTCTTTCACTTTCTTATGTCCAAAAAACCAAAAATGAAGTATCTCTTGTTAAACTTACTAAATAAACGTCCTTCATTTCCTCAATCTGACTGCTTACTGGAAATGTCTTATTAATTGCAAATTTATTCCCACATATTGTGATGCAAATAGAAGAATGGCAATGGGCAGCTGCATTCATTCAAAATTAGCAGAGGCCCTTGTTCAAGGGATGGCATATTCAGAGTGACCCAAATTATCATGACATGAAGGCCACAGGTCAAATTCAAGGCCAAATTACAAATCAATAGAAAATTTCCTTGGGGGAAGCTGTTGCTATGAACTTGAATTCCCAATTGTTTTTCAAAAGGCTGTATTTTACTTTGCTGTATCCAAACTTTAGGATCTTCTGCAAGAGAAAAACATTTGAAATGAGAATGAGTTCTGCTTTTCTTATATGTTTTTTCTGCATATTTAACTCATCAATATTTTTATTTTAATTATCATATATTCTTAATATTTTTCTCTTTTTTTTTTTTTAAGAAGGAGTTTCGCTCCTTACCCAGGCTGGAGTGCAATGGCATGATCTCGGCTCACCGCAACCTCCGCCTCCTGGGTTCAGGCAATTCTCCTGCCTCAGCCTCCTGAGTAGCTGGGATTACAGGCACGCGCCACCATGCCCAGCTAATTTTTTGTATTTTTAGTAGAGACGGGGTTTCACCATGTTGACCAAGATGGTCTCGATCTCTTGACCTCGTGATCCACCCGCCTCGGCCTCCCAACGTGCTGGGATTACAGGCATGAGCCACCGCGCCCGGCAATATTTTTCTCTAGAGATTTCTCTCTCTTTCTTTTTTTGAGACAGAGTCTCCATCAGTCACCCAGGCTGGAGTATAGTGGCACAATCTCATCTCACTGCAACCTCTGCCTCCTGGGTTCAAGTGATTCTCCTGCCTCAGCCGCCCAAGTAGCTGTGATTACAGGCACATGCCACCACACCCAGCTAATTTTTGTATTTGTAGTAGAGACAGGGTTTCACCATGTTGGTCAAATTGGTCTCAAACTCCTGACCTTGTGATCCACCCACCTCAAACTCCCAAAGTGCTGGGAGCAGGTGTGAGCCTCTGTGCCTGGCTTTTTTTTTTTTAGACAGAGTTTTGCTGGGTGCAGTGGCTCATGCCTGTAATCCTAGCACTTTGGGAGGCCAAGATGGATGGATCACCAGAGGTCACCTGAGGTCAGGAGTTTAAGACCAGCCTGGCCATTATGGTGAAACCCCATCTTTTTTAAAAAATAAAATAAAGTAATAATAATAAAAAGAAAAAAAGAGATAGTTTTATTCTTGTTGCCCAGGCTGGAGTGCAATGGCATGCTGTCAGCTCATGGCAACCTCCTCCCGGGTTCAAGCAATTCTCCTGCCTCAGTCTCCCAAGTAGCTGGGATTACAGGCATGCACCACCATACCCAGCTAATTTTGTATTTTTAGTAAAGACGGGGTTTCTCCATGTTGGTCAGATTGGTCTCGAACACCTGATCCACCTGCTTCGGCCTCCCAAAGTGCTGAGATTACAGGCGTGAGCCACTGCACCTAGACAAATATTTTTTAAAGTTCAGTATATTGGCCGGGCGCGGTGGCTCACGCCTATAATCCCAGCACTTTGGGAGGCCGAGGCAGGTGGATCACAAGATCAAGAGATCGAGACCATCCTGGTCAACAAGGTGAAACCTCGTCTCTACTAAAAATACAAAAAGTAGCTGGGAATGGTGGTGCGCACCTGTAGTCCCAGCTACTCGGGAGGCTGAGGCAAGAGAATTGCTTGAATTCAGAAGGCGGAGGTTGCAGTGAGCCGAGATCGTGCCATTGCACTCCAGTCTGGGTAACAACAGCGAAACTCCATCTCAAAAAAAAAATAAAAAATTAAGTTCAGTATATCTGGTCTCCCTAGTTCCTTCTCTATATCTTTCCTTTGCCTTCTGTAGAGACCCACCAACAGGCCCTGAGCTACATTGGCTTCAAGACTGCTGGTATCTGAAGACAGACAGATTAAAGGCCTGGTCTAGTCCTGTTTGATTGCTTGATGCAGCATCATCAACTCTTTTTTTTTT